GTGTAACATAGTATTTCGGTGCAGAAATTAGTCAATACACGACATACACATCCATCGGCAAGGTAATATGGACGGTGAGTTATAATATGGCCCTATAACTTTTCATGCACATGGTATTACGAATCCAAAATCTCTTTCAGGGTCGCACATCTACTACGTGCACTGAGGGCCAACCTAGTGTCTTCAAGTATCAGCTTATGCATCGATAATGATGATCTTTACTTAACATTACGTCAAATGGGTACGAAATCGGATACAGGATCTGTCTAAAAGGATCGACTGAACACCATGTCAGACATTTAGTCAACCTCTAAAAGTGCGTCTATAGATGAAGCAGCACAAGGCTAGCACTACCATTCACATTGTCAGTTCCTCTATTGCGAATAGTATATAGTGGGTCACTTTCCTCACTATGTGACGGAGTAGACGCCTTGCGCCTCGCATCTCGCCACCTGAAGACGCTGCTGTCTATAAGTTTTCTAAATAAACATCAGGTTACAGGTTGGGACAATGAGGTCCCTAAGGTTGTTAACAATCCTAACTTGCTGTGTAAGATGGCCAATGTCACTGCCGACATCCAGTACAGATTTACGTCACCCGAGGTCTTACCCAGTGTTTTATGCGCCACCCTCCACACATTTATTGAGCTTAGCCCAAGATAACTAGGCATATTTCCAACCATGTCTTCATTGACGTTCGGTAAGTTGCCATTACATCCAACATTATTCAGTGGATATATACAGACCATCTTCCGTACATCTTTCGATCTCGGCTCAGGATGTCCTAAATTCCTGATCAATGTTTCTTCTAACATTCGGTGTTTTTGATATCACAACGAAATCGATACTATTAATTGATGCAGTGCAAGTGTCACGATCAGTTATAGTTTTTCCCTTAGACTTATGGCTTTTATGTAGTTACAGTCAAATAATCCTGACATTCCAACGTCCATTGCACTGTTCAAATTGAGCAGTGTTTCGTGGTAGTACCGTTTTTGTTTCCAAGCAGGGCTGGGTTCATGAATCTTCAAAGATCCGCTAGCAACAGTGCGCGTTGTGGCGATGGTCTTATATCTCCAATCAATATATGGCTCGTGGCGTTCGAGCCATTTGATACCTAAATTGAGATAATATATGTGATTAAGTCTTGGACAAAGCAGCGTTCCACGCATCAAAATCCGAAAACTTGACGCCCAAAGTTTCCGATACTTTCAGTACTTATGAGACGCGTTCCTATCTTCAGACGTTTGGTGATGGTCTCACTACTCTGTGGTTCTAGGGCATCAGCGTTTCACTGACTTTCTTTAACGAAATAGCTTCGAGTATAGTTTCCTGATACACATAAATCGATCAAATTTGTGTAAGGGTTAGTATTACACTAACAGCCGCTTTCGAGACAAGCAAGCCTGACTTGTATACACGTTCTGTGATATATAACACAGATTTCTAGGGGCTATAATCACTTTACGTCCACCTCTTTGACGTGCCATGGACACCAGATTTTAAAATTGGTGCGCTCCACGCTACTATGACTCGACGTTTTCCCGCGCCGAGCTAAACTTCCGGTTTGAAGCGACTCCGGCGTTCGGCTTGTCCATGCATGTCTCCATTATGAAACGGTCACCCGGAAAGCAGGTCTTCCGTGCTTCCGCACAACTAACGTCGACGGATGTCACTTTTCTGCTCAGTAGCATGGAGCTCAAATTCACCTTCTGATTTGCTAACATTGATAGGCCAGGGTTATACGAAGTCGATGTGCTTACAGAGATTAATTTCATAAAGCTTAAGGTATACCTATATCATCCATTTCAAAGACTATCTGAATCGAAACACATCATTCTGTGCTATATGCACCGCCTTGTCAAAGGTAGAGGGACAAACAAGAAAGAATATCGTTGTGGCAACCTTTTAACGAAAATCTTCTATACGGTCACGTGGTCCAACTCGGATAAATGATCTACATATACAGCATCCATGCGTGCTCTAACTCTTCGAACATAGCTGATAAGTCCATTGTTTCTTAAGATAGTGGGCAAAAAGCTTGACTGCACATATCATGACTGGTCAGGCGACTCAAATGCGCGTGTGAGCTGTAATTTCAGCCACCCACGTATAAATGCAGCTTCCGCAGACGTACTACATGCTAGAGCTCACTCTATTGCTCTACCATCGAACATAGACACTTCCAACGTTACCCACTGATGTCACAGAGATCAATGCAGACAGACTTGTTACCCATCTCTATCTCTCGGATCCAAAGGATGGGGTTTTCGGCCTACTTCGGGGAAAATCTTGGCGCTCACCTCGAGCGGACAAAGCGCCGTCTCTTTGTATGATACAGACATAAAGCGTATCGACATAGCCGACGCCATTTAGTCTTGAACCTACCCCATAAGGGAGGTCTCATATCGTAGAAGCTGTCGAGACTTGTGCTCAACGTGTCCGGGTCTCGAGGTACAAGGAAGTCCACGTACTCCGGGATTCAATGCTTCATAAGCTTATTAATTGCGACATGTGGACATCAGAGAAGGGAGTTGGACTTCGCTTGTTCCATCATCGTAGACAATCAATCTTTAGAGACTCAAGCGTAGATTGACTACAAATGCTACGAAGCGCTACCAAGTGTAGCGGAGCTATAACAGCTCCTTTGTCTGAGGAAGGTTTTACCTCAACGCTCTACTTTGCTCTTTGAACACGAATCAACGAGTCTACTTTGCTCACTGATGTTCTGGTTTAGGGGGATCTTACGATCCAGGAGATCAACATCACCAAGCGTCAAAGAGTATACGCCTTAACGAAGCTTCTATCTCTGGTGGTCGAAGACGCCTTAACAAGGCACGTGTCTTATCCAGATCAAAATGCGACCTTAAGTTTACTGCATCTTTCACATAAAGATGAATACTTCGTACAGTACAAAATGCCAGGTCTTACCTCTACCATAGAGTAAAAACTAAAACGTACCACTGGTGGCTGAAGCGACAATAATCCAAATGGGCGGTACATCACATACCACACGTACCTAGGCTAAGAATCCACCACCTACAGAGCATGGCATTTACAGGGATGTCACTACTGCCCAGCATCCACATAATTCTCATCTCTATCACTCACCACTAAAATCACGAATGGTTTGTCGCATCTTTCTTTCCCGAACACTGGAACGCTTGTGACCCATTGCATCACACGCGAATTATCGATCTGCGAATCCCACGTGCAGGTCAGTCTTTTCTCCTCTAATGCTGTTGACGACGATTCTTTTGGTCACCCAGTTGTTGCGACGGCCATGCCTAGCGTCCGCTATGTTCTTGGTTGCGACACGTTCCTAATTCCCTTCTTGTGGTATAGCTGGTCTTTTATCCAGCCTTTGTCTTTGTGTGTAAATGTGACACTGACAGTGATTTTATACTATGCATTTGTCGGCTATCATGCTCGCTACTATCTTCAAACGTCGCTCTGTACGCACACCGCGGTCGCCGATGACGCACCTACCGCGGACAGTCGGGTGTGGTCCAAAACCCCCCAATATCGCGTGGACCACCTCCCGTCACCTTCCATCAGCTGGTACGGCATGTGAATGGGCACTCAGTATTTTGCGATCGAGGCAAGGTTAGGAAGTCGTGTGCAATCTACACATTCGTCTGAATGTCAGATGTCTCGACCACGGTTCGTACTTCCACGCCAAAGTATCCAAGGACCTGACTATGGGTGGGACCGTAGCGCTCGTTTCGTACAACAAAAGGGTAGCGCCGGATACAAAACACCAATGACACTCGCATCAAATGCAACCGGTCTTACGGTCTCACTCAGGCTTTTGCGATCGTGGATGTAGCGACGTTTTCTTTAACCAAGTGGTACGCACTTGTGTGAAAGTCATTCGAGATGGCAAGATGTAGTAGCTACGGATGGGTACATTTTGCAGCTGAACCTTGTCGAGTACCCACAGTATCCACCGTGTAAGTAAACAAGCCATCGCCATTTCGTGCGCACCGCTTACAGTGCAGGAAACAATTGGTAATGTTGTTTTATGGGGTGCTAGTGACCACATGGCAAGGACGAAAGTGCATGATTGTGTGTAACGATGGGACCGACTCATCGTTTAGTTACTGACATCGTAGAGTCGATATCGATAGGCTTCGAGTAGTACAACGAGACGAACGAAGGACCTAGCTAGATGATAATTTACTTTCCATTTTGCCTTCTTCTTCTTAGCGTTTCTACCCTACATCGCCCTTGGCTGCTGCCAAAAGTCAAAAGAAACACCCGAGCAGACAACCAAACGTTTGACCTGAAACGAAAAGCTGTATCGAGAATCAATTTAAGAGTCAAGAAAATGACATGTCGAATACAAGAGTCAAGAAAAGGTGCTTTCTCACGTTCGTCGTTATCACATTCGAGTAGGCTGAGCAATCCAACCGCAAGCAATATTGGTTTCCTTTCTATCATTCCGTGTCTTCACTTCATTTGTAACGTTTGAGCTATCGCCACGGCCGATATCGACCAGCAGCGAACGATACAACGTTGCGCTGAACATGACTTCCTCACCGATTCTTACGTTACAGTCAAAGTCGTGCAGCGGGCCCACTCTACCCATATTGGCAGATGGCATCACAACAAACCTTCCGCTTCGTCATATGCTGCTATGCGCAAACTTCTAAGGTCTTCTATGCAATTTGATCGTCGTAGACTGTTTAGTCCCGCAATTTCTTGCCGTTGCCCGTCCACGTTTTTATCGTCTTCACAGCTCCTCAACACACCCTCTTGTACTCTTTTGCAGCTTCTATCTTTCCACATCCATGCGTCAATGAGGACTGGGGCGTATTTCTCAGCACTCGTCAATGCAATAGCTTGCAGCTTCCAGGTTTGCGAAGTCATGATTCAGCAACCCATCGCTGTGTTGGATTAAATAATGATTGCGTTTCCAAAACGTTCGAACGTATCATTTCTACGACTCAGGTGGTAGCACAACGACACCAGCAATTCGTTGTTCGGGCTCTCGACATTCTAGATAGAAGTGACGGAGTTGAAATGCTCGCCGAGGGCATAGTAGTGTAGGTGGTACGTCAACTGCAGCTTCGGTGTGCTTTCGTGGTCTTCATTGCCGAACTCTGCACCCATCACTAGCACGTCAGCCTCGGCCGAGAAAACCTCAATAGGCGTCCGCAAAGCACATGCCAACGCACGAAGCTCCAATTGACCACCCCAGTCCGCCGTGCTCGCCACTCGGTCACAGTACGTCGTGAAGGCGTCGTCGGCACCCTCGTCAAGCGCCATAAAAGGCACAAAGTCATCCCGGTGTGCAAGCATATACTCGCTCGTGAGTTTCCGCAGGTAGTCAAAGCGTGCCATCTCCTCCGTAACCGCCAGCTCCTTTTGCTTCATCTGGTCTGCTACAGCGTGATACATACAGTGGCCATCGGACGGAATGTCTTTGATCTTGAGGCCATGTCTGGCCAACTGCGCCGTGATCAGGTCCGCCTCAACCTGCCGTGCACTCACCGTGTTCTTGTTTGCTTCGTCAATGCGTTCACGACGTGCCTGTTCTTGCTGTTTCTTCGCTTCCCGTTTACGCTGAGCTTTCGCTTGAGCTGTGGCGTGTTTGGACAGTGCCTCTGCAGCCTTCATAGCTTCGTCCAAGTGCAGGGCGGGCGGAATCTCGGCATCGCCTTTCTTCATCTCGAACGCCTGGAGCTCCTGCTCGTGACGTTCGTTTACCGCACTCTCCATCGCCTTCACCTGCACCTCCATCTCGCTCTTACTCAGTCGGTTCTTCTTTGCCTTCTTCTGGAAGATCTTGATGTCATTTTGCAGTGTCTAGCATAGTCAATAACAATAACAACAATGATAGCAATAGTTACAGCAAAAATAACAGCACAGAAATAGCAATAGTAATTAGGATAATGACAATTGTTAAAGTTTAGATGATTATAACAATATTAATGGTTAGAGTGATGATTGAATACAATTTCATTGTTTCCATGACGAGCAATGACTATGCAAAGGAATGGCGCACGGTGTGAGCACCAGCGCTACCAGCATATAGTAGACGTACGCGTAGTTCGAGTTTGTGGCGCTGTTTTGCCTGCCCGAGCGTCTCGTCGTTCAACGCCATTGACGAAGCAGAAGGGGAAGGACCGACGATGTGCCAAATGTGGCGGTCGCTATTGTGCCTTTCCTCTCCAAATAGTGATATACGCACGACGACGCTTGTGTTGTACCAATTGCCCATGTCAGCATTTCTAACTGCTGCGATAGAAACTCAGAGCCCAAATGCGGCGATTTCTACTGCTTTGCGTCGACTTTGATGAGACCATCACGCGACGCGACACGATCTCGCTGCTCCTGCAGCTGTCCTCGTGCTCGGCAATGTGTCAGCAGCAGCTCGTCACGCAGTATGTGGACGAGATGAGCGAGTTTCTCGAGGCCTACAATGCCAAGTGGGAGTTGTGTACCAGCGTGACTCGAGGTGTCGATGCGGTGGGGTTACACGCGTTTCTAAAGGGGTACGCTGCAACGGACCTGCGCTCGCTGGAGCGAGTCGTCAAGAGTCGAGCGCTGGAGGGCATTTGTCATTGCGATGTCGCACAGGCTGCGAGTACAGTGCCGATCCGACCGCATTGTGCCGAGACGCTCGCAGCTGTGGACGAGTGGACGGTCATTTCTGCCAACTGGAGCACCCGTCTCGTGTCTTCCGTGTTGACGCAATCGGGCATTTCTATCGCTCCTTTGGACACGGCGGCTATCGTGGGCAATGGTATGCTGCTTGGCTGACTCAAACTGAACGAAGCAGTGGTGGCGGCGGTGCTCACAATGCTGTGTGTGTCTTTTTGTGTGTGTGTGTGTGTGTGTTAGAAATGCACGTGGATGCCCACGGCGTGACGACTGGAGCGATCGACGTGAAGGTGCAATCTCCTGCAGATAAAGCACGCTGTGTCAAGGCAGCGCGGTTGAAGCGTGCAGAGATGCAACCGACCGTCATGTACGTCGGGGACAGCGCAAACGATGTGCTGGCTATGCTTGAAGCGGATGTGGGCGTTTGGCTCGTTGTCGACAGCACGTCATCATCGTCTTTGCTCGGTCGACTGCTGAGAGCTTATCGCATTGACGTCCGACCACTGATGACCTGCAGCTCGATCGCAGAGTGTGTTGCGACGACGTCACGCAGACCGACGGTGTTTACGATGACGGACTGGGCGCAGCTGAAGGAGCTTGTGGAGAAAGCGCATTCGGAATAGATGGGTAGCGCAGTTTACAAACGCAAACTATTTACGCGCGAAGTGAACAAAAATCACGTCATGATGGCAGCAAGTCCCTGCTGCTCATTGAGTACCGCGTGGGTGCGTCAGCGCGGTGAAGTTGGGCGTGAGTCGTAGTCATCTTCGGCAGATGAGTCGAACGACACCTGCCCACTTCAGTACGTGAAGCAATGACGGGTTTGGTCCTTCGTATCCAGCTTGGAGGCTTCCACAGAAGGGTCAGCCAGACTACTTACGTGCCGATCCTGGATTCAGATACACTCAGGTGATCCGACGTCACAGTCTCATTGCGTCCATGCAGACCTTTGGTATCCGGTCAAATGTTGTGTGAAAAGCATTTACTACGTAGCTGACACACGTGACTTGGCTGCGACGTGCGTATATATATCGCATGAAGCCTGTGGTGTAAAATAGCGCTGCCGCCGTCTTCAAGAGGTCATATTGCGATCCGAATTGTTTTTTTTGCCGTTGGCTCTGTCATCTGACGTCGCTGAAATGCTGCAAGAAGTGGCTGATAGTGGCGCCGGTGTCTGCATACTGCAAGTTTCCATCGGCTCCGTGACAGGATGTTGTGGAAGAGTGCGAGCGACGACGTGGACAGTTGATGACGTCTTTTGTAAGTGTGTATCGTTTCATGTGCTGAACGACTGATCTTGTCGAGCGCTGTCTTGTTTTCTGTGCAAGTGTGCTCGCTAGATCGGTGGCCAACTAGTTCCATTGCCACCCAAAAACAGCATCACTGATGCCACCGTCCGACGGCGCCATTCTCCCTGTCCGGCTCATCTCATCGAAGCCATTCTGTCTGTTCACCGTAGATGCACGATGATACGCACCATGTCACGATGCCGCCAGCAGGTACGTGGGGGATGCTGCACTCGCATCGGAGACGTCAGCTGTCGATTCGTGTCCACGCATATGGCTGCGCTATCACTCCACGAGCCGTGATCGGAGAAATTCTCTCCTCCCGCCAGTGTCAACAGCACATAAGGCTCAATCGTCGCTCGGCTATAGCTCTTGCTTCCGGTACAAGGCTTCTTACAGCTGCCCGACCGATCGATGTAGCAATGGGCTCGAAGAAGGCGGTCTTGATCGAGTAGACACACTGACGGACACACTGCGCTCAATCTTCTTGGCCTGTCAAGGTCGTCCTGCCAACGCGATGTCTCATGGCTCGAGACTCAAACTTTCACGGTGCTCTCCTCTGCGGTCTCACACAACCCAAGCAGGATCATGCCGCTCATATGCGCAGCAAGTCCATCGACATGCAGGCTTCAGTGCTTTGCTTGGCTCGCGAATCGAGCCCAGACGCTCAACCTCGACATTTGAGCACACCGGCGTCAGTTGTCGGGCTTCTCGTCCCTGGCGGTGAACAACATAGCGATGGACGCTCTAATGGATCCGGGAAGCCAGCTTCGAGGTGCAGGTGTCTACTGCTGCGACCTGAGTGCGGCTTTCGTCGTCGCCAACACCCCAGCACGTAGCAAAGAGTGCTCCAGGCGTGTAAAACTCCGCTGTAGCGACTAGCTGTCCAGCGCAACCTGCACCAACACATCTCCCTGCGGTCTTGAGAGGTCGCACAAGGTGCTGTGGGTTTGCTTGCAATCCATGAGCGGATGCCCATCTATCCGTACGAACGGGACCTGCTGCGGATGTGCAAGACCCCGACATTGCAAGTCTTTGTGCATCACTACGCGCTCGCAGCGCCAGGCTTCGGTACCCAGTGGATCCAGCACCTACGAGCACCTCATGCACCCTAACGTCCACAGGAACTCCCTCATCCGCTGTTGTCACCGGCACGTGATTACTCATCTCGCGTGACGTGCACCGTCATCTTCGTCCGAACGCGTGTGCAAATGCGACTCGTCACTTGATTCACTCCGCTGCAACAATTGCCGCCATGTTCTGCCTATCCCGTCCCGAGAGCCGCTACCGTTGCAGCTGCCAGAGAGCTCGTCATGGCGGGTTCAAAGAGCTCGTCATGGCCATTCGAGTCTGCCACGTTGAAGCGTCACGGCAGACGGCACTGCGGACAAAGTGGGGGTTACGAGCGCCGGGCAATGATTACCGGTATGTATCTCGTGGACTGGATATCGGGCGACGAGCGGACGCGCGGGTCATCTGCTCCACCAACGGGTTGCGCAATGAGAGCACGAAGGGGCTCACGTGGTTGAAGCACTGGTCAAGTTCAAGCTTCCCCGGCCTGTCTGCACCAGCGCGCAAGAGCCAGGCCGACCAGATGGTGAGGGACCTGGCGCGCAGCACGTCCAACATGAAGCACCGGCCGGCGCGCTCGGCTCCGTCCGCCGCGTCGTCGGGCTGTCCGCGGCCTTCTTCAACCACGCGACATGCGCGCGCGTATCCAGTGTGGCTGTACACGCCGCTCACTTGAAGAAGCGCGTGGCGATCGGCAGACGCGCGCGTCGATGGGCCGCACGGCTGCTCGGGTTCAAGGGACTGTCTCGTCTCTTGTCGCGCGCTCCCCTACTCCCGTCGCGTCTCACGAAGCGGCCGTCTGCCCTGCGTTTTCGTAGGTAGCCATGTCCGCCCGTCTGCCCGCGCCGTCGTTCGGCCCACGCGCCGCCCAGTGGCCGATCTTTCGAGCGAGCGCTTCCCTTCCGTCGGACTCATTTGTCCTCCCGCGCTCAGCGTGTCAAGTGCCCCGTCGTCGTTGGCTTTCGTCCGTATCCACACCCCACCACAGCCCGTCCCGCTGCGAGGATGCAACTCGCACAGTTCCGAGCGCTCCGCCGCGCGCCCCGCGTGACGCTGGCCCGCGCCTTGTCCGTGCCAAGCGAGGCGGCCGCCAAGGGCTCCAAGGACGAGATGCTGCGCGCGTTCGACAAGTTCCAGAAAGACGCAGCGGCCCACACGGTGCCCTGGTTCCTCGCGAACATGCCGCCGTCGTACTTTCGCTCGATCGAAGAGGAAGACCGGCTGCAGCACCTGAACGCCATCACGGCGCTCATTGGCGCCGAGCAGCCCGAAGTGCTGCTGCGGTCGCCCGATCACAAAGTGTTTTCGCACTTTCGGTCGGGCGCCAACTTCCCCGGCCGACTCGCTGACGTGCTCGAGCAGCTCCCGCAGACAGTGGACGGCGCGACGCTCGCTCGGGTCAAGATCTTCACGGCGCTCGACGACTCGCTCGGCCTCGACATCTTTCGCTTTGGCCAGCAAGAGCGCTTTGTGAACAAGTCGGACGAAGAGAAGCGCGCGCGGGCCAAGATCCTCCAGTTCTGCGCGGACATCCAGGCCGGCAAGTACGCGGGCGACGCGAGCTACCCCAAGGCGGGTCCGCACTTTGACCCGGCGGTCGTTGACGCCTTCCTGCACAACAGCAACACCATGTACGTGCAGTACAGCCACCCGCGGCGCCTCGCCAAGCAGCTCGAGCTGTACCAGCGCGTGCGGGGCACGGAAGGCGTGGCTGTGGACGTCGAGCACAAGTGGGAGACCCGCAGCGACGAGAACAAGTTTGTCTCGAGCGACGTGTCGCAGACCATGTTGACCATTGCAGCGTCGAACGTCATCCCCAAGAGCTTCATGCAGACGGCGGCCACGTACCTCGGGCTGTGCAACCTCAACGTGATGCGCGCGCACTTGGATGTCGTGCGGGACCCCGAGAGCAACAACGGCGACGGCCACGTGGCTATGGTGCGGATCCTCGTGCAGCCGAGCAAAGAGGCGCTGCAGGAGAACTTTGAGTTTGAGTGGTCCAAGATCTCGGGGAACCTCAAGTACCTCAAGTGGGTCGACGAAGGACCGGTCCGCCTCACGCTGCAGCACCCGGACCTGGGCATCTCACGGGCCGAGCTCATCTACGCCTACGGCAACATGCTGCACGGTGTCCTGGCCAAGAAGGACCCGTTCGCGTACTCCCTCACGCGCATTCTGGAGACGCTCAAGCACGAGCAGCACCTGCCCTTTGCTTCGCGCATCGCGGACTTTTTCCTGCGGAAGTTTGACCCGCAGCAGGAGCGCCTCACGGATGCCGAGCAAGACGCTGTCGTGGACGAGATCAAGGCGGACATCCGTCGCAACGTCGAGCAGGAGGACGCGATTGAGCTGCTGAACAGTATGGCCGATGCCGTCCGCGGGACACTGCGGACCAACAAATTTGTGCGTGAGCGCTACGCGCTGTCGCTCCGCATGGACCCGCAGGTCATGGGCTACGGCACCGTGGGCAAAGACACGCCGTTCGGTGTCTTCTTCATCTGCGGTCGTCGGTTCAAGGGCTTTCACGTGCGTTTCCGCGACATCGCCCGCGGTGGTCTCCGCATGGTCTACCCGAGCTCGACGGATGCCCACGCGCTCGAGAGCGCCCGTCAGTACAACGAGGCCTACAACCTCGCCTTTGCTCAGCAGCTGAAGAACAAGGACATCCCGGAAGGTGGTTCCAAGGCCGTGGTGCTCTGTGACCCTATTGTCGGCGATACTGGCGAAGTAGCCCCGCGCGACTACATTATCCGCAAGAGCGTCAAAGCTTTCTCGGACGCGCTGCTTGACTTGAACACCACGGACGAAGCTGTGAAGGAGAAGATTGTCGACTACTACGGGAAGGACGAGCTCATTTACTTGGGCCCGGACGAGAACATCCTCCCCGAGGACATTGTCTGGATGACGAACCGCGCTGCCCATCGCGGCTACCCCGTCCCGCGCGCCTTCATCAGCTCCAAGCCCGACGCTGGTTTCAACCACAAGGTGTACGGCGTGACGAGTGAAGGGGTGGCCGTCTTTGCTGATGTCGCGCTCCGCTCGCAGAACATCGACCCAACGAAGCAGCCGTTCACCGTGAAGATCACGGGCGGCACTGACGGCGACGTGGCTGGCAATGTCATCAAGATCCTGCACCGCGAGTACGGCACCAATCTGCGTGTCGTCGGCATTTGCGACGGCACGGGTGTGATCGAGGACCCCCAGGGCCTCGACATGGACGAGCTGCTGCGTCTCGTGCACGAGTCACTGCCGCTGTCGAGCTTTGACGAGTCCAAAGTGTCGCCCAGCACCGGTGTGAAGCACGACATTAGCACGACAAGTGGAATTCGCGCTCGCAACTCCATGCACAACCGCGTGCAGAGCGACCTGTTCATTCCTGCCGGCGGTCGTCCGAACACCATCAACGAGAACAACTGGCAGGACTACCTGGACGCAGATGGAAAGCCGTCGTCGAGCCTGATCGTCGAAGGCGCCAACCTGTTCACCACGCCCGAAGCGCGTCAGCTGCTGTTCGACAACGCTGGCGTCGTCATCGTCAAGGACAGTTCGGCCAACAAGTGCGGCGTCGTGTGCTCTTCGTACGAGATTGTAGCGAGCATGTTGCTCGAGACGGACGAGTTCCTCGCCGTGAAGGACGAGCTGGTCGTGGAGGTCGTGGACAAGCTGCGTGCGTTGGCGCGCGTCGAAGCTCAGCTGTTGTTCCGCGAGTACAAGAAGGACCCGTTGTCGGCTCTACCGCCTGCAAGTGAGCGCATCAGCCGCGCCATCACGCGCGTGCACGACGCTGTGTTGGCCTACTTCGACGAGGTGTGTGACGAAGACCAGCAGGTCCTGTTCACGCTCATTGAAGAGCACTTGCCGCCCAAGCTGCGCGAGCTCGCACTTCACCGCGTGCACGAGAACGTGCCGCTTGCGTACATCCGCTCGATCGTAGCGTCCAGCCTGGCCAGCAAGATCGTGTACCGTGAAGGGCTGCAGTTCACCGAGGCGTTGCCCGAAGCGAACTTGGGCAACATAGCGCTGCAGTACCTCAAGCAGGAGAAGAAGGTGCAGCGTCTCGTGGAGGACGTGCGAGCGTCGCAGCTGCCCAACAAGGAGGACATCGCCGACCTCATTGCTCGCGGCGGCGTTCGTGCTGGCATCGACACGCCCAACTAGAGCGTGCACGTTGGAAGTGGACAGGGGACGAAAGCATTTGGCTCGGCTGATGCTGCATGGTCCGAGCTGTCAACACGTTGCGGCGAAGGACGTGCGTGGTGGTATCTTCGCCGTGTCGTCCTGGAGCTGGTTGCTTGGCACGTGAGGTGGTGGACGTCCCTTGCGATGTTCTTGACACTGTGGACCGACAACGCGGTGAAGAGAGTCCCGGGCACGCATTGCGTTGTCGATGGATCGATAGGGTGCACAAGGTCTTGACTCGCAGGGTCACGTTGCAGGAGGGTGAAGTGCGCTCTCGAGACGCACACACGTCCGTGCAACACGGTCGCGCCTGTATCGGGTCCGTTGGAAGGCGTAGGGAATGACAGTGTTTGGTAACATGACAACATTGCTGACATGGAAACGCGTTGCATGCTGCCTGAAGCTTTGTCGATGCTCTTCCTCCCAGACCTGTCCACGGGGTGCAGCCCTCTACCTCAACGAGGACTTTTACTGCTTTCGCCGTCTCGTAGTTGCGCATGAACGCCGCACCGCCTCAGCACTGCTTTCTACGGACGAGCAGGAGAAGAAGGCGATATCTGTGTATGGGTCCATCCGGTCCGCGAGCTCCGACTGCAACAGCGATACTCTGCGCCAAGAACGAACGACCTCGAAATGATTGACAAGTATTACCACCTATAGCTCAAGACTAAACATCTCGTCGCTGTCCTTGCTCTCCTCCATCCCTTCCTGCTCTGCTGCTGCTCCTGCTTCGTCTTCTGTCTCGTGATCTACTTCCGCCTTGATGTCCGCCTTCTCCTCCTCTCCCTCCTCTTCCTTCGCCCTCTCCTCCTCTCCCTCCTCTTCCTTCGCCTCCTCCCTCTCCATCGTGTCGGACTTGATCAGCTCGGCCGACACTTGAGCTTCGCCGATCTTGGCCACAGCAGCGCGCAAGGCCGCTTCGTTATGCTCGCGAGCAGCTTGCTGCACCTGTTCATTGATCGACGGCGTCTCGGTCTTGCTCCCGTGCTCGACGTCCGATCCCAAACCAGCCGTCACTGCGCCCGCCATCTCCATCGTCTGCGACACCGGTACAGGCGACTCGGTGAGTGCGTCCAGCAAGTACACTGCCTCGTCCGCCGCGGTCGGCGGCGTTCCGACTGCAGCCGACACCGCCATCGCTTGCGACACGCCGCCGTCCACCACTGCCAGCGTCGGGGTGCTGTCTCCAGGAACCTGTCCACTGGCCGCTGCTGCTGCTGCGTCTCCATTGGTCACGATCGGGTCGAGCCGGTGGCGCGAACAGAAGCGCGCAAACCAGCCCGGCGAGGCCTTGAAATTGGCCATCTTGTCATAGTTCTTGGCCAGCACAATGGCCTGTTGGCGCACGGCGGTCTGCGTGAGCGGCATGAGCTGGTACGGCTGCGACTCGCGCATGCGCACGATCCACTGGTAGAGCTCTTCTTCGAACGGCGCGTTGCGCTGGAACCCGCCGCGCTTGCGCTTGTCGCGGTTGTGCTCGTTGCCCATGTAGTAGCGGTTGCGCACCGTGTCCTTCATCTGCTTGAGCTTGCGGATCGCGCCTTCCGACACGCCGTAGCGCTTCGCCAGGTCCACGTTCTTCACTTTGGCTTCGCGCTGGATGATCTCGAGGATCTCCATGCGCTCCTGGTCGTTCAGGCGCCGTCCTGCGCCGCGAGGCCCCATGTCGATGTGGCTCAGTGGCGCGCACGGTGTGCGTCGCAATGGGCAGACAATTAATTGTGTGAATTCGATTGCTACTTAGTTACTACTTCTTATTCTTTGCCTTGCGTCGTTGGGTCGAATGGCGAAAGGGTATGTATATATGTATATACATATAGATATATATAAATGTGTGAATATCTATTTATGTATATATAGATCACTCGATGCTTTTGAACAGGTGAGCCCACAGTGGCCCGGCGCGATATCAATGGAGCCAAAAAAAGCGAGGAGCTAAGCGATTTTTGGTTGTCGTCGTGAAAGCTGCGCTGTGGGCGCTGCGGTGCGGCCGTCTAAGTACGACATCAATGGCGCACAGCCGTGTCGTGTGGTGCACGTGAATGTCGTGTGGCAGACAGGAAACAATCGGGATCGCCTGGGACGGCTGTTGTGCGTTGTGTTTGCGACAGTTGCGCTCGTTTGTTGTGTGGTGTACATAATTGTGCACGACCACATGCCGGCGACGACGTCCGAGCTGGTCAAGCCCCGGAAAGGGAAGACCCGCAAGCCACGTTCGCTGCTGCTGCTGCTCAAGAGCTTTGTGGGGCTGCGTGTCCGCATTGAGCTGAAGAACGACTGTGTCATCGAAGGCGTCGTGCAGGAAGTCCTGAATGACATGGACTTTACGCTCTTAGATGCCTGCGAAACAAAGCCGAGCGTGCGTTCGGACGAGTTGTTTTGTGTGCTTTGTATAGCAAGCAGTCTGTGGTGTTATGTTGTTCACGTTTTTTCTTCAATAGCTCATCGTTCATTTGTTTGTACACTGCAGGGCTTGACTGTGATGCTGGACGAAGTGTTTGTCATGGGCAAGACAGTGCTGTGCGTGCACATTCCCGACCGGATCAACATCTCGCACCATTTGCAGCAATACGTGCGTCGATCACGGCGTCATCGCGCAGCTACTGAACGCCTAACAGGACTGACACGTCGCTTTGTCCCTGTTGAATCTTGCAGACCCGGATGCTGCGGCAGAGTGCAACAATGTATACAAGGGCAAAGCGCACATCCAGCTCGACGCAGTAGACGCGTGGAACGAGCCGCACAAACGGACTGGTGGTGAACGGAACCGTACACCAAGGGAGCGGACGATGCAAGTCAGTTGTCGATTGCATTCGTCGTGCAGCCATCGACACGAAGACCATGCGGCTGGTTTGACGGACCTCGCGTTTCGGCTGCTGATGGTGCGACCATGCGTCGGTGCTTGTACGATAACCCTGCGAGTGTACACTGCGTTGCCAGAGTGCAGATCTCGTCTGCCGACAGCGACCAGCGTCACGACTCGACGCATGAGCGGCTTCACGCTCTTCTTCTAAGGCCGTTGTGCGCGCGGTCGTGCGTCGTTTGCAATTCCGTTGTGCACGGCGTTCGGCGCACCCGCTACGTCCGCACACATTTTATCGGCACTTGAATCCAAGAGCTCATTGGTCCACAAGTGTCACATTGTAGGTGCAGACGTATTAACCGTCAAGCAAACACAGTCCGAGTGTCGTCATGTCATGTCTTTCGCAGTGGTCTGTCGTGATAGTGGCCGCTTGTTTGCCTGGTTTTGTTTGCACGATTTTCAGTATCCGGACCATTCCAAGCCCGACGTCTCTGGTATGTGCAGTACACAGATGTACCCGAAACGTGGTACGCTCGCATGGGCCAGCAAATGGTTCGGGAGCCTCTGCTTCCCCTTTGACGTCCAGTGGAATCTTCGACCGCGCGACGAGCAGGTGAGAGCGCGTCAGCCACGTGCGCGCGTGTGGGACGGGCGGAACAGAGCGACAGCTTCGCGCTGTATCGTCTTTTGTATCGCGTGGGTGGTATTTGTACCCACGTTCGAAGGTTCTAACGCTCTTGTCCACGTGGCGGCTGTGTGCGTGTTTTGTGTGTGTGACTTGCGTCCAGTGCGTCATCTCGAGTCACCGCTCCCTCTTCTTCGCTCTTTCCCGCTCTCCCCCCTCTCAGTTGTAGCTCCAATCACTTGGCCAAAGGATGGCAGAAGTCGTGCAGAAGCATTTGGCGGTGCAGGAGCTGTCGAAGCTCAAGATTGAGGAGCTCACGCCCCTGACGCCAGAGGTCATTAGTCGTCAGGTGCGTGCCCTTGACAGTCTTACACTGGCAATCACGTCAGGATTTGGAGCTCATGGTGTTTGTGTATGGGGTCTTTGTGCTGGTCTGCTTGTTGTTGTTGGTGGTGGTGGTGGTGGTGTCGTAGGCCACAATCAACATTGGGACTATTGGCCACGTCGCCCACGGCAAGTCGACGGTCGTGAAGGCCATCTCGGGTGTGCAGACGGTGCGGTTCAAGAACGAGCTGGAGCGTAACATCACCATCAAGCTCGGCTATGCCAACGCCAAGATTTATCGCGCAGAGAACGGCACGGGTATTGGCTGCTACCGCGCATTTGGTAGCTCCAAACCTGACCGCTTTACGGACGAAAATGACGACAAGTTGGTGTGGGTGCTGCAGCGCCACGTGTCGTTTGTGGACTGCCCTGGTCACGACATTCTCATGGCTACAATGCTGAACGGAGCCGCCGTCATGGATGCTGCTTTGCTTCTTGTTGCAGGCAACGAGGTGTGTCCCCAGCCGCAGACGTCTGAGCACCTGGCTGCTATTGAGATCATGCGCTTGCAGAATATCATCATCTTGCAGAACAAGGTGGATCTGATCAAAGAGGACGCTGCCGTGGCCCAACACGAGCAGATTAAGAAATTTGTGGCCGGTACAGTCGCCCACGACGCGCCCATCATTCCAATCTCAGCCGTGCTGAAGTACAATGTCGACGTGGTGTGCGAGTACATTTGCCGGAACATTCCCATCCCAAAGCGTGACTTCACCTCGAAGCCAAAGCTGATTGTCATTCGTTCATTTGACGTGAACAAACCCGGCGAGGACGTGGAAAACCTCAAGGGCGGTGTCGCTGGTGGTTCCATCCTAGAAGGCGTGCTGCGTGTTGGCGACGAGATCGAGGTGCGCCCCGGGATTGTCAGCAAGGACGAGGAAGGCAAGATGACGTGCGTTCCTATTTTCTCGCGCATCGTGTCGCTGTACGCTGAAAAGAACGACCTGCAGTTTGCAGTCCCCGGCGGACTGATCGGTGTAGGAACGCACATTGACCCGACACTCACGCGTTCGGACCGTCTGGTGGGCCAGGTGTTGGGTCTAAAGGGTAGCCTACCTCACGTGTTTACGGAGCTGGAAATCAACTTTTACCTGCTCAAGCGCCTGCTGGGCGTGAAGACCCAGGAGGGCAGCAAGGCTTCGAAGGTGCAAAAACTGTCGAAAGCCGAAGTGCTGATGGTCAACATCGGCTCTACCGCCACGGGTGGAAAGGTGCTGGCTGTGAAGCAGGATCTTGCCAAGATTCTGCTCACGGTTCCCGTGTGCACGCAAGAAGGAGAGAAAATCGCCATCAGTCGTCGGATTGACAAGCATTGGCGCCTCATCGGTTGGGGCCAGATCCGCCGTGGTAGCCGAATTGAGATTGCGGACTCCGAATAGATACATAATCTTCCTGTCCACCGCGTGTCGCCGCAAAGAAGAGTAGTCATCTCGAAGGAAGAAAAGCTAGGAAAGGATCAGGTGAGATGGAAGTGCGATTGCGGGGGTCGTAGCTTGTGTCGTAATGGTAATTCCAGTCTCATGCGTTTCGCCATCTTGTTTGGTGTTGCCGACGGGCTGGTGTCATCTAGACTACGATACTCGAAACAAGCACGTTGGAACGAGAGCTGATGATGACAATTACGTGTATGTCTCGCAGCGCTTGCGGCGAAGTACCTTAGCGCTAAATGGTGGCGAGCGAACACGATACTCGCTCGAGCCATGTCATACAACTTCCGGTGAAAGGACCTGCACACAGCAACAACCTTACGGAGCAAAGACGTAGATGGCAGGCTTGCCTGGCGACGCCGTCTCCAATTTCCTCGCGTCTGCGTTCGGGATCTCTTCGCCCAAGTAGTAGAACTGCAATGCAACAAACCAGCAAAGGGCATGCGTCAGTCACTGATCACGCCCTCACGGACCATCAGCATCGTCACATTGCTTCAAGCGACTCACGTTGATGTCCTGAAGCTCCAGCGACCGGCAGAGGTACAACTTGTTAGAGGCAAGCACGCTCTTCTGATCGTACGGCATCCTGTGTTGACATGACACCGTCACGAGCAACATCGTCAGTATCACACTTGTCAGTCACATACACAACTATCACTATCGTACCTCAGCTCCAAAGCCTCACGGCCACGCAGCTCAGCTTCCGCCTTGACGAACGCAGCAAACTGCATCACGTTCTTCGTGAGCTTCTTCAGCGAGTCGTTCTTGGTGATTTCGCCCTTGAGCTGTTGCATAAAGTCGGCAGGGAACTGCTTTGACGCGTCATCGAAGAGACCGTCCATGAACACTAGCACCTTCTGTTGCCATTCTGGAAACTCCGTAGTCAGGTACACTTGCGCGTGGGTAGGCTTCTTAGCTGGCTCGGACGCAATAGCTCCCTTCTTTCCCTTCGTTTTACTACTGCTTTTCGTAAGCACTTCGCGGAAGCTGCGAGTAATTTTGTTCAAGAAATCACCCGCGCGTAGAAGCGCATGGTCGACCTCCTCGGTCACGGGCCAGAGAGCCACCGATACAAAGCCTTCGTTGCCAATAGCAGTCCACATGTATTCGCAGAAATGCGGACATATGGGCGAAAAGATGATGAGCTGAGACTCGATGAAACGCATGATAACGCCATGGTGCATCGGTACCTCGCTCCGGGTGCATATGTCACGGTACGAATCGCGAGCAATCTGGAACTCGAAGAAGCCCGAGTGGAGACCCTCGCGCCACAGAAGGTGATCATAGAACGACGCCGTCTGCCCGATGAGGTCATTCATTTGGTTCAAGAAAACCTTGTCGTTGAAGTTAAGCTCACCTCTCCGCAGCGACGCCTTGCTACCCACGACGCGCTTGATCCACTCCTCCTCAGTGGTGAGACGCAGAATCGCCATGCGGCACGTGTCCAACGCGTAGTTAGCGTCGTCCATACCGTCACCAGCATCGGCGCAAGCGAAACGAGTGGCATCGGCACCAAACTCAGTAGCGCAGTCTTTCAGTGTGAGGAAGTTTCCCAAAGATTTGGACATTTTCTTACCGTCCACCTGCACATGACCATTCGTGAAGAAACCACGCGGCCACTTTGACGGATCGTTACGCCAGATCTCGGCGTGGTTGTACAGACACATCGTCAAGTGATTGCGGATCAAGTCCTTGCCGGACGCGCGAACATCGATGGGGTACCAGTACTCAAACTCGTCGCGGATCTGCTTCAGCACGGCCAGCGGGATCGTACTCGCGGTAGGCGGCGAGGCTTTCAAGAAAATATAGTCAAACACCTCCTTCGTCATCTGCTCAGGCTTGATGCCATGTGGGCCCAGCTCCGAGCCATTGAGGTTGGCCTGCAAGTGGTGCGCGATCGTATAGTAGGCCATGTAGATGGTCGAGTCCGTGAGAGACTCCACCACAAACTCGGGGTCCCATGGAAGACGCGTGCCGAGACCAAACTGACGGCACGGGGCCCACTCTTTCAGCCACCCGAGAGTAGACTTGTACTCACCAAGCGCCACTGGATTGTACGCATCGAAGGACTTCGGGTCGCTAATGTGGTCCATCACGCGCTTCTTCCAGTCTTCGGCGCCGTAGGTCAGGTACCACTGGTCCAGATGGGCAACCACACATTCGTCACCGCTACGCGACACCACGAGTGACTCCGGCTCCCAGTACGGAACACCGTGGCCAGCGTCAATCAATTCCTGGCGCATGATGGCCTTGGCATCGCATACCTTCTGACCCTTTTGCGAGCCCACGATGAGGACGCCTTCGTAGAACCCTTTGAGGTACACAAGCTCCTTCGCCTTAGCTAGCTTGTCCTTGTCGTTCTGCGACACAATCTTGAGGTCCAGGCAAACCTTTTCCGCAGCCATGTTGCCGAAGCCCGGGATCTCGATGATGGGCACCGGCTCGTACGGCAGCACCATGTGGTCTGCAATGCCATACTTTTCGCGCAAAGCACGCTTCTGCTTCAAGTCACGGAACGCAGCATAGTCGTCTGGCGAGTCGGACGGCACACTCATGACTACACCCGTACCCTTGCCCATAGAAATCGTCAGCAGTGGCAGCGTGTAGATCGTGTCGTACGGTGCGTTAGGCGATGCCAACGGCAGACCCAGCAGGTCCCAGCCTTTCACCTCGAGTAGGCACTCCTCTTTCCCCCACACACGCGAGTGCTCCTGGTGAGCCAGATTGCGCGCCGCGCGACGGCTCATCACAAACACGTCATTGTCGTCGTTGATGAGGAAGGCACCATAGTCGCCTTCAGGCAGCACAAAACAGTTTGTCTGTCCATACAGCGTCTCGGGACGCAGCGTCGCAGCAGCCAGAAACACCTTCTTGCCGGCAAGTGGAGCAAACTTCTCCGGCAGCGGTTCCTTCACACGGAGCTTGGCGAGCGTGTACTCTTGCGGGCCCACGCCTTCGCCCGACGCGCGATCGTGGTCAGCGCAGCTCTGTCCGTCCAAGATCGAGTAGACATTGGGGCGCTTGCCACGCACGATGCGGCCGTGCTCGTTGAGTTTGTTCAGCTGCCACTCAACGAACGCATTGTAAAACGGGTTCACGTCCGTCGTAATAAACGACCGACGCCAGTCAATGTTCATGCCAAAGCGCTTGAGGTCAGCAATCGCATGCGGTGGAAAGTACTCGAGCCAATAGAGCGGATCATGGAACTTGGGGATCTCGTCTTCCGGAATGTGCGACATCTTGAGAATGTCGTATTGATGCACGACGCCACCTGTCTTGGCGGCAGCCTTGGACTTCTTGCCGTGCGCCTTGTCCAGCGCTCCTTCCATAGCCGTCTTCCCTGCTTCGTCACCAGCCTCCGACTTGTCGTCCCCGTCGCTGCCCGTAGGTCCAGCGAGGGTACGTGAAAAGTCCGGCGGCGTCCCATAGGTCTCGAGCTCGCGCTTGAGTTTGTTTGCTGCCGCTTGGATGGGCATACCAGTGCAGTGAAAGGCAAAGGGGAAGAGGACGTTCTCGCCCTTGAGGCGGTGGTACCGGGCGGCAAACTCGACCTTCAAGAGCGTAAACAGGTGGCCGACGTGCAAGTAGCCGTTCATATACGGGTACGGGAACGTCACCATGTACTTGTTCTTCGTCGTCGCGGCCTCGTGGCTCACGTCCGCGTTCGCTTCAAAGAGTTTCACCGCGTCCCACTTGGCCATCACCTCGTGCTCGATGGCGATCAGATGGTCGCGACGCGCGAACTTCTTCGAGGGCGCAGCGTCGTCTTCCGTGAGCTGCGCGGCGTTCATCGCGGCCGTCACGTTCTCCATGACGTTCGAAGCAGAGGCAGTGCGTGCGTGAGTGGGTCTGCGAGCCAATGAACGAGTGGCAGTGGTGAGGAGAGAGGGGCGGGGCGGGGCGACTAAGTACGCACTGGCGGTCGTCGATGTTGCGGTGTTTACAAAGCGATTGGTTTGGGGGGAAAAAACGACAAAGATAGGTCGTTCGACTAAATTGCGCTTTTTGGCTGCAGGTGTTTTAATCACTGCAAGGAAAATAATTGACGAAAAATCGACTCTTGTCGACGACGAAAGAGAGATGTGTAACAAGCTGAGGGATCGAGCGAGATCGCAGAGCAAAAGAAAGCGGATATTCCGACCGGTTGGATTCGAATATCCGCATACCAAAGGGGATCATATCCGACAGCTTCATGCTCGCTCGCTCGCGCTGCGCAACGGTCTAGCGGTCCAGAAACACAAATAACGCACGATATCTCGCGCGCCATCAAATAGAGCACTCTACTCGTGCGACAATCTCTAACCCGTCCATGCAACACTCGCCGTCGCGCTCGAGACCGACAGATGCACTCGGAGCGCCACACTGCGCGCTTGAAACGCCGCGCCGAGCGCCTCCTCCCGTCGCCCCACACACGCAGCAGCTCCTCCGCGAACAGCCGCATCGACAGCAGAAGCAGTAGCAGCAGCGGCCGACAGCGACCGCCTCTGTCCGCGTCAACGGCCACTGAAGTCGGTGCGCCCGCGTCCTCGTCGCCTGCTGCCGTGAGCGCGCGTCGCCAGTCGAGCGCCAGGAGCCCCCGAGACACGAACGCGCTCGTGGAAAAGCTGCTGAGCAAAGTGCACAGCGGGTCGCCGTCTGCTGTTGTTGCACGTCGCACGGCCGTCCGACTCCAAGAGGCCGTGTCGAGTACGCCACAGACTGACGTCGTACGTGGAATGGCAGCAGTTGATGTTGCAGTAGTACTTAGGGCAGCAGTTGCATTGACACTGGCAGTAGTAGTTGTAGTAGTAGTGTAGTAGTAGTTGTCGTAGTTGTAGTAGTAGTGGTTGTAGTTCATGTTGCAGTAGGGTGTTGGCTATCGTTGTGTAACGAAACTGACGCTGGATGTTGTGTAGTTTACGGTGCTGGAGAAGATCAAGCGGAAGATTGCAGCAGACTCGCAGCCTGCCAGTGGCGTCTTTCTATCGGAGACGGTGACGCAGCTCCACGAGGTCTTTTCTCGTTTCGTCAAGCTCAAGAACCTGGACAAGAAGACGTACGTTCATTGTGTGTGAGCGACGTCCCTGGATCTCGACTAATGTCGGGTGTTGTGTGTTGTCGTAGCGAGGCACTGCTATTGCTGTATGGTTTGATGCACTCTGTTGCATTGCCAACATACAATGAAGACGTTCGCCGCCATCCAGACGTTGCGGCAAATAACGTGGACAATTCTGCTGAACGTGGATCCATAATGCCTCGTCTGGAAAAGTCCGATACGTACGAGAACGGCGATTCCAGAGACCACAATCCGGTACAGTCGATGCCAACGGCGTCTCTGAGCTTCGAGGGTCCAGCTGGTGCGCGTGCTTTTCCCTCGTTGATGGGGCAATCAAAGGCGGATCTGGACTCTCTGGAGGACTCGTTCAAGTTCGCAGTCGGAATTGCCCCGGTCCACAAAACACACAAAAGAAAAGCGGGCAACGCTCGTACTTCGGCTGACGCGCGGTCAGGAGTAGTTCTTCCAAGTGCTATAAGTGCTTCTGCCAACAAAGCCGGGCACATGTCGTTTGACGTTCCCGAGGCGGTTCTTTTGCGCGACGTCTTGTACGCCTTGCAAGCAATCGAGTCGCGCTACTTGTACTTTGACGACACACTGGATCGCTTTCAGATTACGAGAAGCGTTGGCGTCCCGACGCGTAAGATAACATTGCCCGTCTGTCGGTGCGAAGTACTCACGCTTGCGTGCGTACTGTTTGATAACAGCTATGCGCGAGCTGATCTATATGTTGTGTGACTTGGGCTGGCTGTACCGCAAAATTTCGGCTTACATCAAGCAGCATCGTGAAATGCTGGCGTTCGGCTTGGTGGGTTGCATCCATCTGGAAAGTCAGATACTTTCAAATGCAGCCATGGACTGAAAGCATTGTGGTTGTACCCTTGTAGGTCGGGCAAAGCTTTTGTCATATGCTCCACACCGAACTAGTCGTTTACTTCCGTCTAATTGCGATCCTGGCGGCTCAAATCGACGATGACGCAGAAGCAAGGCAGCCGAATGAACGGCCAGCTAGTAGTCTTACCTTGCGAACGCTGATCGTATGGACTCAGGATGCACTGGACAAGATGCGGTTAATGGCTCGTCTGATCGACAGGTAAAGAGCGTGTTATGATGAACTGGATTTTGCCAGAGCGCGAGGAATTTGACTAACAATGCGAGCCGTGCGTTACTGTAGTGCAGAAGGTCTTCGTGGTGGTGCACTTGCGTCCGGCGTTCACTCGCATGTGTTGCACGGTGATCCAGACGTGTCAACGTTCGTCCAGGCAGTGCTAAAACAGACTGCTGCTCCGATAGTGCAAATGATAAAGCGCTGGGTCTTTGAAGGAGAGTTGGAAGATGTGCATGTCAGTGAAGCTGGCACCTTTTTGCGTCGTATTGTGATCGAACGCTGCGCTGATCTGACGTATGCTGTTCCGAAGGGTGAGTTTTTTGTAGTGGCAGACTCGACTGTGAGTGACGATCAGTTCTGGGCTAAGAAATACACGCTGGACTTGAAGATGCTGCCGACGTTTATCCCCATGTACGTCCGCTGTTTGACCTTGCGTGCTGAATACATTCATGACGAAGGGCATCGTTTGTTCGAATGTGTTGTGGAGTCAGCGAACTTGCAAAAAAGATCCTGGTCATTGGAAAGAGTATCAACTTCATCCGTCAGTGCTGTGGAAATGCAAATGTGGGTAAAAGGACGGGGCTCTCTCCTACCGTGCCACAAGTACTGACTACTCGCTACTGCGTACAGTGGGTCACGACTGCAGCACAAGAGATCACTGTGATTGGAATGGGGACCGAAGATGGGACAGATTTTGCAGAGTTGAAGCGTTTCGAAACGATGATTGAGAATGTGTCAAACTCTACAAGCAAGTTCCTGATTCGCACGCTGATGGAGGATTACCGACTTCTAAACCATTGTCAAGCACTAAAACGGTACTTGTTACTAGGACAGGTATGAAGTGACGCGATTGCCCAACTCGATCGACTTGGTCTAGTGTTTTGTGACCAACGTTCTTTGGCTGCCTGTGTACAGGGCGACTTTGTTCAATACCTGATGGACCTCCTAGGACCTGAGCTGTCCAAACGAGGCTCACAAGTGTATCGCCACACGCTAACGAATGTGCTGGAGACAGCACTGAACGCGTCCAACGCGAAGTTCGAGGTTCGTGCTCACGCAACGCGAGTTTACCAGATTGTGTGTACTCAGACTGCTATGCTCGTGTGTATTGTTCAGTCAGCAGACATCTTAGGACGTCTAGATGTTGAGCTATTGCAAGGATCTTCGGGTCCGTATCTGGCCACCCATTCTTAGTCGTGCGCAACGAAGCTGATATTCTTTCGTTCTGCTTTTGCTCTTCTACAGCGGATACTGGATGGGACATATTCTGCTTGCACTACAACTTGCAAACACCAGTCAACAGTGTCATTCCAGCGTCATCGATGCTCCAGTATCAGCAAATCTTTGACTTTCTGTGGCGAATGAAGCGCGTCGAGCACTCGCTGTCTGCGTCGTGGACGAAGGATATGAACCTTGGACACGAGGTTCAGGTACGCCTACTGGCATCTTCAAATGATCGATATGCTCTGACGTTTTCTGTTCGGCGAACCATAGGGATGTGTGCCAGGAATTAGACCAGTCTTGCACCGAAGTCAGCTCGTACGGTCTCAGATGATTCACTTTATCACCAACCTTCTCAACTACGTCATGTTTGAGGTACGATGCTCTGATCACGTTCGAAGCGATGCAGTCAGCTCACTTCGATTATTGCGTTGTTGAGGTTCTGGAGACAGCATGGCATCAACTAGTGAAGGACCTACACGCTGCAAAAGACTTAGACGAACTCATTGAAAGTCACGCGGCATACATCCGCTTCATCAAAAGAAACGTACGTGTACAGTGTTGCTGCGACTACCTCAGTCGGCAGTGACGCATGCTAAATGATTACCGAGTGATGCATACGTGTCTTTCCAGGGTTTCATGATGAAGGAGTCAAGAGAACTGCTGAAACAGCTGAAGCTCATCTTTGCAACGATCGTCAGATTTTGCAAGGCGCAGGAAAATTTATATACGACTGCCATGCACGAAAAGCACGTGGAAGAGAGGCGTGAGCAGTTGTATCGGCGCCAGGAACTAGACGTACGCTCTTGATGTCGTATTGTGTTGTCGGCGTAATTGACGTGTCATGTGTCGATATCTGATGCGCAGTCTTCGTGGGCGACACAAGAGGAAAAGGAGCACAGCAAGCAAAGCGGCAGAGACGCATTTGGTACCGACTCAAAGCTCTTGCGTCAAATTGAAGAAGTTGCGGATGAGTTCAGCAACCAGTTTCTTGGACTTCGTGACATCGTGAAGCAGAACTCTACGCGGTACGAACCAAATTTGCACCTTCGGTATGATATCCGTCCGCATGTTGTTACTCGAGCACGTGTGATTGTGACAGTGGGTTACAGAGCCTGTCGTTCCTGATGTCCCGCTTTGATTTCAACGAGTTCTACCTCAAGAAGACGGTTCTCCAGTAGATGCAGATGAACAAGCACTCAGCGGTACGAACTTGCAAATTGTACATTCTTGCATACATACACGCACTACATGTGAACGCTTTCTTGAGCTGCTGTCATTGCGTTTGATCATCCAGGTACAACTTGGCATGGAGCGTCCGGGTGATCCAGCAGCTCTCCCATCGAACGGCAAATCCGATCGGCAGAAATAGATCCATCAAGTAATGCATCAATTCTAGCATGCACAATATGAATATGGTATGTCCCAGGTGCATCCTGCAAGCTCGATGCCCGATTCCGTTGTGCTTTGTCTTCGACGGCGCGATCGTTGAAGGACGTACGGAAGAGCTGGTCACGTTCTAGCGATGTTGCGTGCTGCGCGTCTTCGGAAGTGACCGCCGGTGGTGATGCGACGATCCCCACGTCCATTGTGTGCACTCGGAAGCTGCTGGCCACTGTTGTCAGTGAACAGGCTCTCATTCGATGTTGCATACTCGTTGTGCACAGAAACTGTGGTGAGCTTTACGAAGAAAGCAGTGGCAGTAGCATTGGCGAAGTGCTACTCACTTTCGCCAACGTCGAGCAGCGGGTAACGATACGTCGCAAGTCATCGATGGTATGTGCTTTGAGTTCATCTTGAACTTCAGCCACGGCTGCCTGGTGAGCTGCCTGATGAGGACGAGAAGCGCACAACGAGTTCCAGAAACTGGAGGCTGGGGACATGTGACGGTGCTAGCATGTGGTAAGTATGAGTTCGCCAAAGCGAGTGCAAGGGCTACGACGTCTGCCAGTTGTGCAAGACGCAAGCCACATGCGTACAAATGCGTAGTGAGTGCACGATGTGTCAGCGAGGAGATGGCCGTGGCATTCTGTCGGCGCACGCTTGATGGACAAACCGAAAAGGTATCGACCGAAAAGCGTCGGGAGCAGTAAATTAAGATGCAGTTACCCCGGAGAAACAAGAACAGAGCTGAGGGAAGCTACCAGCCAAGATTGCGACCGAGCATCTCATACAGCTTTTCATTGTATGGCGCGTAGAAGGCAGCCAGCTTGGCGCGGACGGCGTCGTCAATGGGATCATACTTGCGCGTGTTCTTGGCCGACGTGTCTTCGATCCGGTGATACGGCAGATCAAGAAACGTAAACACTTTGTCCATGGTAGTCTTGCATGCAAACGAAACACATCAGCTCGGCAATACGATAAACAAGGATCCCGAACAAGCAACTCGACGTACATGGAGCTTGTCAGTCGTCTTGAACTCATCGAGAGTGAGCAGCATCGTATTCTCCATACCATACGCCTTTATCCAGCCTGTCAATTGCAGAGCGTACAGGCCGCGAGCCACAAACGAGTGCGCGCCGTGGTCGAAGGCAAGGCACCGGCGCATCACTTTCGTGTCAAATTCGTCAAAGTCCATGTCCAGGTGCACGCCAAGCATTGCGAGCTCTTCCAGCTCGTCGTCGACAATCTGCTCAAAGTTGCACCCGTCCTTCAAATGGTGATGGCCACGATTGCACAGCTGTTGCTCGGAACCTTCAGTGTCGACAGTCATCGAGTAATGCGAGTACGCGCGCTCCACTGGGTTTCGCAGAATGGCCAAGATCTTGCGACAATGCGGGATCACCTGCTTCATCCGATTGATCACTGTCGATCCGCCGAGCATGTAACTTGGCGTAGCCTCACCCGACATCAGCGACGGATATCGGTACAAGATCTTCCTCTCAAAGTACGTGTCCTCGTAATACCGGAGATGTTGCTTAGCACCCTCGGGCGTTGATGGATCCGCGAGCTTTCGATTCCAGCGCCAGTCAAAGTAGTGAGTCTCCTTGCGCTTCGCAGGCCACACGAGGTCGTGCTGCAAGATGTAGTCATGCAATGCCGTGGTACCAGCCTTCTGCGCGCCGATGATCATGAACGACGGCGGCACGCGCTTGCCGTAGTCGGTTGACAAGTCCATCGAGCGACGCGTCTGCCACACGACTGTACTGGGCTTGAGGTCCATGCGGTTCAGCGGAAAGCTGTCTTCGACGTAGTCAAAGATCAAATGTACGCGGTGCTGGTCCCAATTGTTCTTGACGCAGTGGCGACCAATATTGTTGAGCTCGTAGAGCGTGCCTTGCTTCAGCTCGTAGCGCTGCATGTTCTCGTCGTTGGGACCCACTCGGAAGTCGACGTCGGGACTTGTGAACACCGGAAGATGCATGCGATGCGTAAAGCGCACCCAGGACCCTGTATCGTGATGGACGGGGATCGTCGCTCCCGGCGGCATCGACGCCAACATACAGCGCACGACAGAGCGCAGCGAGATGTTCATCTGCGCGAAAATAGGCGCCAGTTCCTTGTGCCACACGTGGAAATACGGGAACGTAAAGACGTTTTGCAAGTAGTCGTCGCCAAAGATAAACACGACTTTGTCGATGCCCCACGTGTCGTGACCAGCTCGACGCACGCGGACATTGTCCGTCTGGTTGACTGGATCCCAGAGCTCGCGACCGCTGTCCACGATTCGTTGCTGCAACAGCGACAGGTCAATGTTTTCTTGACGTGGCACGAGCATAGCCAATTGCTTGGCCACTTGTTCAGGCAGCTCTTGCGTCGGCACTTGCTTGTGCCTGTCAGTACCACATGCATTGCACGACTTCAGTAGCTGCGCATCAACCACGTCATCGTTCTTGTTGTTGCAACAGATGCCAACAGGACCACAAGTACAGCTATCCTCACTAGTGGTCCTCTCATCTCGTCGTTCGCTTACACGCATCATCATCCCATCACTAGTACCAGTACCACTGTTATTGTCAATAACAACACTAACAACAACAAGACTATAATAATACCGTAGTACTATCGTTGCAGTAGTGGTCCTCCGAATAGTACCAAAGTGAGGCCCATCGGTAGATCCTCGTGACACATTGATATGCAGTGGCGTACTGGAGGGGCACATGCGTCAAAGTGGGGGTCGCGGTCGCAGTTAGGGCGGTAACGGTCATGGTCCCGACCGAGCAGCCCGTCGAGCTTTGGTCGTCGCGGCCGACTCAGAAGGACGACGCCGGCCAACGAGCGCGTGCTGAGCGTGTCGCACCACACAAGTGATACGTAAGCAGTTCGTCGCTGAGTCTGACGTGGACCACAGTGAACCGACGCCGCCTCGAGCGATTGGCTGGTAGCCCGCGATTGCAAGCGCGCTTAGCGCCCGTTCCGATGCTGTGTGCTTGTAAACCGTGGGCCCAGCTTTTAAGCGCTTAAACCGCACCAGTCAAAGCGGTGGTCCCCAGCGCTCTTGCAGGCGACAGTCTTTTTGCAGCGCCGTCTCCATCAAGTTTCAATTTTAAGGCTAGCAATATGGTACGTTGGGGAGTCGAACGGCTCTGCCAGTGCAGCGAGGCGGCAGCGTGGAGACTGTAGAGTGCGTGGGGTGTGGACGTGGACGCTGTCACTAGCGCAGGTGCACGACAGATGCGGAAGTTGGCTGACCACTGGTCAGTCCAGTGGTCGATTGGTCAATTGGTCAATTGGTCGGTCGGTCGGTCGGTCAAAAGGGTATTGAAGTGTACCCACTGGTCGGTCACGTTCGACACGACGAGCGTATCGAATCGAGCGATACCGCAATAGGGTTACAGCAGGTGGATAGCGGTGTGGCCGACATCCTGTAACGAGAGCGATAGAGATGGCGAGCGATTCCGATGACCGACCGACCGACAGATGGCTACGACCGATACACGACGAATTGACAGTGTCCACTATCCACTGTACCCATCGACTACGCAGTCCATTATGTTTTTCTCTGTGGCTGTGATGCTAACAGCTTTGCCATTCTCTTGTGTGTGTGTGTGTTCGCTTCCGCTCTGTCTCTGTCTCTTGCTGTGACTGTTTACTGCCGTACATAGGGTATCGATCTTGTCGCTGGCGGCAAAGTCGTCGGCAGTAAGAACCGCTCGTGCCCCAAGTCGGAGAACGTGTACCTGAATCTGCTCGTTCGGCTGTACCGCTTTCTCGCTCGTCGCACGGACGCTAAGTTCAATGAGATTGTGCTGCGTCGTCTCTACCAGAGCAACACGAACCAGGCGCCGCTGTCGCTGGGCAAAGTCGTTCGCTTCATGAAGAAGCACGAGGGCAAGATCGCTGTGGTCGTTGCGACCGTCACGGACGACATTCGTCTACTGAGCGTCCCCAAGCTGTCGATCGTGGCCCTGAGCTTCACGGAGACGGCTCGGGCTCGCATTGTCAAGGCGGGTGGTGAGTGTCTGAGCTTTGACCAGCTCGCTCTGCGTGCTCCCAAGGGCACGAACACGGTGCTGCTCCGTGGCGCGCGCAAGGCCCGTGGCGTGTACGCCCACTTTGGCCACAAGTCGACGCTCGAGTCGGTGCACACGCACGACCACGTCAAGCCGTACGTGCGCAGCAAGGGCCGCAAGTTCGAACGTGCTCGTGGCCGCAGGAAATCGCGTGGCTTCAAGGTGTAAGCAGCCTAGCTACAAGGACACTGATGGTACCAGGTCTTCTCTGTCTTGTGCGTTCGGACGTTGGGTGTGCGGGTGGTCGTCTTCGTGTGGCAGTGGGGGCGAGTGCAACGGAAGCAGCTGGTCTTCGTACGAGCTGGTGTGTACTGGTGATGGGACTGTCTTGCTGCTTGGCACCGCTAGTGCAGTCGTGGAGATGGCCACTTGCTTACGAACGATGGAATAAACAAACACAGGGAATAAAATTGAGACGCGCACTATTCTTGCCTTGACCTTCTCTCCTGACATGCAAGCGTGCGTGTGCACGTAGGCCAACACGATGGCATGATCGAGCAGGTGCAGTGGAATGAACCAGAATGTGCCTTGTCACTTTCGACGCGAGAGAATGTACTTGAGCTTGGCAACGATCTCGGCTGCAAGTTGGAGACACATGATCATGACGCGAGCAATCAGTCACACTTTGCCAGCACAGCCGTTGCATAAACACTCTCGCGCAACACGCACCGCATTCGTACGGCGAGTCTGCCGTGTAGTCTGTAATGATCTCCTCGATACTGTCCTTGAAGTAGATCTGGAACTCGGACGGATCTTGGTTGAAGCGCACCCACACCACACCGGACATTGGCCTCTCCGCCTGTCACAAAAAGGAACAAAGGAGCGGCACGTGAGGATACACATACACCTGCAGCACGGATCCGACAGCAGCAACGTCCAGCACCTACAATCTTCGTGGACTTGCCCGACGTGATGACGCGCTCGCCCACTTTGCGGTTGTAGATCTTGTTGAGGTCGATACCGAGCATGCGTTGCTGCTTCTTGCCGTACTTGTTTTTCTTGATGATGTGCCACTCCTTGAACATGGCGGCTGTCACGTCATTGAACATGAACGTTTCCGGAGGTGGTCGGGAACGACTGTCAACGTTCGTAGTCTTTTCCATGGCCGATGGAGCTGGGGCAGATATCTGAGGCGCATCGGCGAATATTTCTGACAACAAGCGTGACATCTTCGCTTAGTCCCGATCACCGGAAGAGTGCAAAAAGACAGTAACAACTTACTCGTAGCGAGTGTTACTTCGTGCAAATTGAGCGGCCGCAACTTGGTGTGCATATCGATCTCGTCGCTGGCAAGGTCCAGCCGGTCACGATCGACTTCGCTGATCTTGAGCACATACAGCTCCTGGAAGAGCTGCAGCCGGTGCTTCTTATTGAGAGTCGGCAGCAAATCTTGGCCGACCGTCGTGCCATCAATGGCCACCACTGTGTAGTCGTCACTCTTGGGCCTAAACGTCCCACAAGTGCACGTGAGCAAATGCCAACTTCCCCACGACAACAACGATACAAGCAGTAGCAGGCCGCACATGAAGATCTTGAGAAATGCCTTGTCGTTAGTTAAGGGTGCTTTCGCAGCAGCAGCGCTTGGCTTCGCCACAGCGGCAGGTGCGGCAGTATCTACAAGACAAACCATTCCAACAAGCAAAGCAACAACTTGAGCATCTACCACAGCGACAGCAGAAACATTACGATGGAGCGTACCAGGAGCTGTATCGCCTGTCGGCGGGCAAGCATCTGGCCGCTCGCACAAACAGTACTCGTGGCCGCCAGCATCACCAAAGTTCTTGATTTTCCGTGACCGATCAAGCGCTAAATCCACATCAAACACGCATCAGTACTGCAGTTTCGTCATCTGAATCCACACACAACATACCTGGAAAGTCTTCGTCGGGAATGCCATCCGAATCGTGCAGTCGAAGTTCGTAACACTCGGGGTGTCCATAATACAGCGTCGGCTGGCGCGCGTTCGCCTGGTGCACTCGCAGTAGCTCCTGAATCGCCTCATCGACCGTCGACACGTCGTACAGCTAGTTGGACCACGAGCAGAAGAAAAGCGAACGACCGCACAGCGTCAGTTGACCCTCCCACCATGCTCTGTCTCGGACCTTTGCCACGTACATCAATCTTCATCTCGTCCCTCGTAGGCAAGTAGATCGTCAGATGCAACACGGCACTTCCATCGGCTCCCATCATAGGCGGCCTCGCCCCTAGAGCCGATGCTGCTGGACCCTTGAGAGCTTTGTCCAGCAACGACGTCTCGTGGAACGACACAGGCAGCACCTCCTCCCTCTCGAACGTAAACCCGTCGTCCCCACCCTTTGCATCGTCTGCAGCTTCGACCGTCGCACTCTCTGCTTTGCTCTCACTCTTTGCACCAGCCACTGCAGCGCTTTTCTTGTCGCCACGTCCCGATATCTGCGTCGACGGCCGTCGTCTCGACTGCTGCCCCGGACCGCCTGCCGCGCTCTTCTCTCGCCCGTCCCTCGTCTTGCCAGCGGCCGCTGTCTCGTCTCCAGCTTTTGCCCCCGCCGCCGCCGCAGTCACGACAAACCCACTGGCTGTACTGCCTTTGCGTAAGCATTTGGGCGCTGGTTTCTTGCCCGCAAGAGCCGTTCCCAAGCCCGAAACCGACGCCTGCGGTTTGAACGCTGTCATCTTGTCAATCCACGAGTTCCGGAGCTGCACTTCCATCTTCGGCGACGAGTTGTAGATACGGTCGACCTCTGAGTCCTGACGGTCGTGGAACGTCGGGCTGTTGCACGCCGCGAGCCGCATGAGCCCCACGACGTGGTTCAGTTCGCTCAGTTCCGTGAACTGCATGCTCGTTATCGCCCAGTGGACGAAATACGGGGCATTTGTCGCTTCATTCGCGGCATTGGACCGACTCAATCGAATAGAGTACGCTATTCTGCCGCTCCTCTCTGCGAGCAACCGCTTTCACAAATATCGAAGAGCTCTTGCGAAATATCGACAAACGAGCGCTTGAAAACGATCGGAAGAGCTGAGGATCGAGCGCGACGGGAGCATGTTAGGGACGGGTTCAGCGGCGTCAGGGGGCGCAACGGACGCGCGTTTCCCGCCGTCGAAAGCTGTGATCCTCATTGGCGGACCCAATCAACCGGGCAACCACTTCCGACCGCTGTCGCTCGACCTGCCAAAGCCTCTTTTCCAACTGGCGGGGCGAGAGATGCTCTACTTCCACGTCGAAGCGTGTGCCCGCGTGCCGAACCTGCAGGAGATTTTGATGATTGGGTCCTACGACGAAGGGCTCTTCTCGCGCTTCTTTGACTCGGTCTGTCGCCACTTTAACGTGCAGATCCGGTACTTGCGCGAAGACAAAGCGCTGGGCACAGCAGGCGGCATCCGCTTCTTCCGGCACGAGATCTTGGCCAACGACCCCGTGAACCTCTTTGTGCTGCACTGTGACGTGTGCTGCTCGTTCCCGCTGAACGAGATGATGCACTTCCACTTGAAGCACAGGGGCACGTGCACGGTGCTGGGCAAACGCGTGTTTCACGACGAAGCCAAGAAGTACGGCTGTCTAGTGGCAGACCCTGTAAGCAAGGAGATCCTCCATTGGGCCGAAAAGCCAGAGACGTTCGTGAGTGACATTATCAACTGCGGTGTCTACCTCTTTGATGTATCGCTCATGGACACGATCGTCCGCGTCGGCGACAAGATCAGTCAGCAGCGACTGCGCAGCGAGTCCAACTCGGAGGCCAATACGCAGCACGACCTCAAGAAACTCTTTCCTGAATTCAGTAACCGGGACAACCTCCGGTGCGTAGTGCGAGTTGTGCAGTGCTTGTTTCGACACGCCGAGCGATGTTAACTTGAGTGTTGCATGTTCTTTTGTGGCCCGGCAGACTCGAGCAAGATATTTTGCTGCCTCTTGCTGATCAGCACTGCCTCTATGTACACGAGCTCGGCGACTTTTGGTGCCAGATTAAGACGCCTGGAATGGCAATCACATGCTCGGAGCTTTACATGCAGCGGTTCCGGTTTACAAATCCTAGTGTTCTGAGCACAACGGGCGGGAAATTGTCGCCAACAATTGAAGGCAACGTGGTCATAGACATCTCGGCGAACGTGCATCCGACGGCAAAGTTGGGTCCGAACGTGACGATTGCAGCAGGCGTGGTTATCGGAGCGGGAGTACGGGTTGCTCACTCGATCATTCTTGAGGGTGTGACGATCAAGGACCATGCGTGTGTGCTCTTTTCCATCATCGGCTGGAATTCCATCATCGGTCAGTGGGCTCGCGTCGAAGGACAGCCACCGAACGCCGCGCAGATCCAGGTGCATTCGGCAGAGACGTCGCTTGTGCGCGACGTCACTATATTCGGTGTGTCCGTCGTTGCGAACCCAGAGATCATTGTTCGCAATTGCATCGTGCTGCCGCACAAGACTCTCACGCAGAGCTACCACGATGAAATTCTACTGTAATGACGATGCTGCTCTTGTGGCCACACTACTCGATTGACCTGGTCTTGTGCTTCCCATGTTCGATTGCGCTTGTACGTATGACAGGACCAGCACGAATCGCTCTATCTTTCAGCGCTCGTTCGCCGCGCTCTACTTTTAGTGACCGTATCAGTGGTTATGGCTCGTTTTGGTGTAGCATTGCAGCTTGAACGCGCACCAACGAGACGAAGGAAACCACCGCGGCATTCTCATTGCATTGGTAGCGGTATATGCGATGAACAGCAGGATCTGCGTTCGATGATATGTGCATGCAGATAGCCACATCTAGTGTGGAATGCTTCGGAGGGTTGTACACCAGCTGTTGAGATTGACTGTGGCTGACCTGAGTCGAGAACATGGCGAAGTTTAGAGGTTGGCAAGAGGTCCTACCGGTGTGATCGCGTTTGTAAACTATATGTAGGTCTGTTGTCAGCCCATCTGCAGCAGCCGACGTTCGAATAGCACGCCGCGCTTTATGTGCATCCGTCGAGTAAACACAGGCACGTTTATCGAGCTGTTTGGAAAATAATGCTGGTTATGTAGCAGCTTGACTGGCAAGCGTTTGCACACGACCGTGAAGGGTTTGCGGAGAAGTCGTTCAGCGTGCGCCGCGAATCTGCCATGCACATTTCGCCGACATGGCTTGGGTGGTCCACTGATGTAGGCAGAAGACAATGGGAAAAGTGGCGATCGATTATATGTCGCAACGCAAACGCAGTCGTTGTCATGATCGGAGAACGAACCACTTGTCTGAGAACGAGTGCGTATCTGCAACACGCTACACGCACCCACTGATGCGCTGAAAGCAAAACGCAGTACAAACCCATGTGATGATCATTAGCTGCTGTGCCAAGTCGGATGCCTTCTTGCAATGGTGGTAGGTCACAAAACTGGAGGCTCTGCACGCTAGCAGCTCTCTTGCTTTTCCGCGCAAAAGCATTCGCGTATTCGTTTAAAGCTTGTAGCAAATGATCTGCTCACTCCGTCAATTTGTCTACTTCGGCCTCGCGATGGGATCTCCATGTTTCCAAGCAAGGCATCAATCATTCCTTCGATCGTTTGCCCATCCGCATCCTGACCACCTCCTTGTCACCAAAGCTGCCATCATACTTAGGTTGAGCTCAGTAGAGTTCGACGTAGCTCAAACACTATATGAATCTCGGAACGAACAAAAGTTCGTTTTGTTTCCATGTCGTTGCGAGCACATCCTGTACAACAATAGTTCTTCTTTGGCAAGCAATGGTCGCTGCGTCTCCACAGCAATTACTTCGCTGCCCCACCTTTTTGCAGGTTTTGCGACAATACTTACAGATCTTTCGTTTTGCTCGTTTCTGTATCTTCTCGAGTAGAAACTGTTCGATACGTGAGGTTGCGTCATGTCGTCAAGGCTCAGGCCAATCCTCCTTCTGCCGTAGAAATCGCGCTTTTTCCCAGTCGAACTTGCCAACATCGTCAAGCCATGGACTGAGCTTGTTAAAGGTGTCAGGCCGCTTTCCTGGGCATCCGACGCCTTTTTTGTGAACATCCTCTGCGACGGGCAACATTACGCAGACGTCCTCGGGCTCCACACGTGACTTTTTCCACAGAGGAACCATGAGCTCCAAGGCCTCGAAGTGTTTCTCGACTACCGCTCTTTGCCAGTTGTCAGCGAGCTTCCTCAAGTTCACGGCGCGTCCAGGCGAATGGAAGGTTGCCACTGCCTGTCCGACTCCTCTCTTGTCCACCAGCCACGTTGCTATAGATTTGCTGTCCTTACGTAGCTAAGATGTAAGTTTGGCTTCGGCAATGGGCCACTCCGCGTTTTTCTTCTGACGTCACCTGTACGTCTTGTCATCGCTGCGATAGGCAGCAACTGATCGACTTCGTCAGGTCCCACTTTACGTCGATCGAGCATTATCCGACATCTCAAAAGTTTTACTGTCTACCGTGACCAGTTCTTTTCCAAGTCCTCCGCGCGCTCATTCCATGCGGGGGTGTCTCGAAGCAGACCGATACCTTTGAACATTGAATGTTTGGTCTTGGGTAGCTGTGCGACAATCTTACTGTCTACAATAGGATGACCCTGCGAGTCGTACGTGCCGACGCGTTTAGTTTAATTACCTAATTTCCGATATTGAGCTTGATCAGCCACGTACAGATCCTCAATTCTCTAGCGCTGTAGAAAAGCAGTTTAGGTGTTTGATTGTCACGTCAACCTCACCGAAAGTGGTCCAGCTATATGCATCGTCTCTGACGGCGAACCTGTTTACACCCTCTCCTCGTCGGTCCATTGCAGAGTTGTTTGTGGCCGCAAGTGTTCCGTTGCCACAAATCTATTCGTCACCACACGAACAGGGAAGGCGAAGCATTATCCATGGCCTTGTTGCCGCCAGTAATCGTTGCTCACTGATGCAAAGCATTTTGGGAACTAACTAGTGTGCTTTGGTCGCAACGTGTGGATCACGCAGGTGTCGACTGGCTCGCATTTCTGGTGAATGTTGCAAACTTCAGCAAGCGCAGTAACATGGGAGCAACATCAGGCCCAAGCTCGTAAGAGAAAGAGCCCCAGATGTTCTGCGGTGCATTTTGCTCTTGCGGGAAACATTTCTTGCCAAGTCATGCTCGATTGCAAGCGAACGATTGTGGAGAATAGATGGGATCTTGGCAACCGCGTGTATTCCCGTGTTTATGAGTAGTCGCGATAAATGCAGTCACCACTCGTTGAGCCGACCTGCTCTGAGCGAACGTTGCAAGTGTGCGGAAGCAGAGACCTGAGCGGATCAGTGTCTTTTGCGGGAGGAGTCAACGGCTGCACATTTCCTTCTTGTTATATTGTGGCTCAGACGACGGCTGTGTGTTTCCAAATTCATCATATCTTAGCTGAAGCAGAGCAGAATGGGGACGTACAGAGATTAGTTTCTTCCGCAAAACACATATCTGTTGTGCTGTTTTTTCAAGCGATAGCGACAGGGCGTCCTGACATGGAAAGGACCGAATCTTCTCAGCGCATAAACAAATCGTAAACAACGTGGCCAAGTGAAGCTCGCAAGTAGTAATCATGAATTGAACCCAAATACAGGATGGTAATCGATCGCCCACTGCTGTCGTAGGTGACGCACACGGATACGGGGCATCTAGTCGTGATGCTGCGAGGAACGAAGTAAGCCGCTTCTTCCTGGTCACGCACTATGATCCTGTCATGGGAAATGCGATCAGACGTTTGGCACCGGCCGCTTAAAAGGGACGTAAGACTGGCGGACAAACTCTTAATAGTCGTGTAGTCAAGGCGTGTAACGGGGCACGCTCTTGCTCAGATATCAAGCTGCTGGTCAATTGGTCCTCGGCTGCCGAACAGACCGACGCTTTCGTGCTGCTTTTACGCCAAGTCGACGCAGTTTCTCGTTGCTCGATGCTCTTTCAAGTTGTCCAGACGACTTGACCTATCCATATAACCGTGCACAAGGAAGGGTCTGGCTGGTGGTGGTATAAAATGCGCAGAGGACCTTGCATCGACGCGGGCAGTGCGTATCACGAGACTGTGACCCCTTTGCTGTGGAAGTCTGGTCCCCACCACGTAGTTGCCAGAATAAGCATGGGCGGCGAATCAACACAAAAGAATTTGTTGCGTGCCGAGAAAAGATGCTACTGACCTCCGAAACGTACAAACAACATACCGACAATACTACACAGCTCAGCAAACGGCATCCGACAGACATGACGACTTTTCAGTCCCAGCTCAATCGTAGTAGACTCTGCATGCGACGACTTGTACTGATTGACATCACTCGGTGGTAGGACGGGCAGCACGTCGTCTCTCCAATATCGACGTTTCCTGGCTCACTTCAACATCGCTGTCCTGGTCCCTGTCTGAATTACCAATGCTTGATAGCGAAGCTGACGACGCCAGCGCAGTCGCCACACCTAAAACAACAAACCCTCCAATTGCCACTTCGGGCACTACACACATCATTGCAGTAGCTACTGCTGCGAGCGAAAGCCCTTTTGACTGCAGCTGTAGCGACACTTCGAATCCGTAACGTGCCCACGTTACAAAGTGCTCGCAATTGAACCACAAGAAGGAGTAATAAGACATACCAAGGCGCGACAAGGCACGCCGTACAATTTCCTGACCGTCAAACGGCCGCAGTCGGTAGCTCGACCACATCGTTCTGTCGAGCTCGTCCGAGTAATCGGTGCACGCAGGTCGAAAGTTCCTTTGCACGACGCGAATCGAGTCCACGCGCACTCTGAAACCAAACCAGTGGTCGGACCACAAGTGCACCACTCGATCGTTGCCCAGATACAAAGCAAAATGACTCGGACGCAGGCGGTGGTCAAAGCGCAGAACGTCACCCGGGACCAGCAATTCCGCCGCCATATATGAGCCGTTTCGTTTTCAACAGCTCTCGTAGCGGCAGAAGAGAAGAAATTCGACACTGACCGGTGAGATGTGTGCGCGTCGTTTCGGATTCCAAATGTCGTTTGACGTCGGGACAAAATATCGACAACAACGGGGGGCAACAACCGACAGTTGGTGCGTGTGTTCTAATCTCGGTACATATCGCCCCTTTTCCCTCTGTTTACTGCCCTCGAGCCTCGACAATGTCCTCGATGCTGCACTATCGAAAGGTCGTGTCCGAGCGGCTCAATGTTTACTGGAGGACAGCACCAGTCCGTGCGCCGTTACATGTCTGCAGGCTCGATCCCTATCGCCCAGACACCGCGTCTCTCGGCGCTCTCCCCGCTGTATCCACTGCCGTCGTCTCCGACCGCAGTGGTCTCTTCGGCCGTCGTGGACGACGCTATTGGGGACCTCTTTACTCGCTATTTGCCCCTCTTTTTCGACTTGTTGGAAAAGTTCCAGTACCAAAAGGTCACGCCTGGCACCGTTTTTCTCTTGCTTTTTGTATGATGAATGGAAACGGGGGGGGGGGTCTGGATCGAGAGCTGATTGTTCGATCGCTTGGCATTGCTGTGCTGCAGGCGCTCGAGATTCTGGAGGAAGAGCAGGAGACACAATGGAAGGAGTGGGAGGCTTTTCAAGTGATGCTGAAGCTAGGAGCGTCGTGTGAGAGCACGTACGGAGCAGTGACCAGTCAGTGTGATGGTGCGTTAAAGAGGAAGTGATGGAGATAGCTGACTTGTCGCGTTGTGCTGGGGCAGGTATCATCTCATGAAGTACTTGGAAGCAAAGTTGGTAGAGACAGACACGATCGAACACATGTATGACAAGTTGGTGGTGCTGATGAACCATCTAGCCGACGAATTGAAGCCAGTTGCGATGAGACAGGGTCGCCGCTGTTCCATGAATCCATTGACACCAAGTCGTGGTGCTGGAAACATGGATGGCTTTGCGGATCAAAGTCGTCAAGGAGAAGGGGGTGACGCAATAGAGCAAGAAACGGACAGCGCGCGTATGATGGAGATCAACGTGTGTGGCAATCTCAGCTACTACATTGAATTGCTGGAGCAAGGAGCCGAGTTTTTCTCGGTACGTGACCTGTTCACTCGGGTTTGTGGGGAGTCAGGCGTTTTTGCGCGCTAATGTGGAAACCACGAGTAGCTTCGTGCCCCTGTAATACAGATATATCGTGGCTTGGCACTTTCTAGTGTGCCTCGCGACTATCACGGTGTAAGTCAATGATGGTTCCGTATGCAATGACAGTTTGAGCTTCTAATATTGCTTGCCGACTGTAGATACTGAAACAAATCGACGCCCTACTACTCTCTGTTGACTCGTTTAGTCACCCGCTACTTGAGACGATGAAACAGTCGACCATCGAGGAACTGAGCACCGTGAAAGGAGCTCTTCAATGTGAGCTTCGGGTGGCAGAGTACGACTTTACTCGTTCGATTGTGGCGCTGCATCGGCTGAAGGCTCAACTGCGGTCCTGGAGTGATCACATCGATGTCGTTTCTGACTACCCGCTATTTGAAGGTAGTGGCGTGGACTTTGGTGCAGGTGGTGACGAAGAGGGTCTGCTTTATGATGAATCTGACGAGAACTATGGTATCACGTCGGATTCACTGCACTCGAGTTCGAGCTTCCAGTCGTGTCCGCCGCTCCCGCGATGTCACGTGCGAAACTCAAGTTTTGGCGGCGACTTGCGGAATGTCGGGATCTCTTCTTCGCTAGTAGAGTCACTCGCATCGTATTGTGGCGGGCGTTTTACCAACCTGGGTGATACCTTCAATGAAGTCGAGGATGAAACGGTCGTGCCCGAAGTGGACCAGTCAGGCGCATCCCTTGATGACGATTCGAGTCCGGTCTCTTCCGATGTGCATAGCACGTTCAGGCGTTTGTTGTCGCACAGCAGCCTGTTACGACGGAGTAGTGTTGGACTGACATCCGCTTTGCCTATCCGGCGTGGGCTTGTTCAGAAGCCAGGCGACCCGTACGTTAGCTCGGGTGACACGAACTCTTCGATGCCAACTAACGCACTGGAACAAGCCATTCTGGCTGCCGGAGGAAATGGCAGTGGAGGTGCTGCAGGCACATCTCTTGGACCTAGTCAGGGCTTTCTAAACGGTGGAGGCGTTGTTGGCGGTAGTACGAACCCTGTTGCGGCTGAGATGATGGCATCCTCGATCAAAAACCAGGAACGGGAAGATGGTTTTGCTTTGCCCGTGTTTCAATGGGCCAAGCGGTTCTATCGTTCGCTTGTGGCAAAGTTCACGCTGTTTTTTCACCGCTGGCTGGAGCCGTTCGAGAAGAAGACAGACTACTTGGCCCTAGAACTTTCTCGCTACATCAAAACGCCGCTTGGAATTTCCTATCTACAGCTGATGGACGTGCTATTGTCTCGAAGCTGTAGGTGTACTGACTTTGGGAATGGTGCCTGACTGACTTTGGGAATGGTGCTTAACTGACATGATGTTATGTTGTGAGCAGCACACAAAGGGGACGGAAGCAAACTTTACATCATGCTTATTCTTGAGACACAAGCTCTCGAAAACAAGGGTGCCCACTACTACGACAACGGCTACCGTTGCCCGAGCTCAAGCAATGCAATCTACACTTGCACCGATGAAGAAGAGGAAGCTGAACAGCAAGATGCGAAGCACAGGACCATTGCATCATCCAGCTCCGCCGATACTTCTGGAATCAGCAATCGTATAATCGCCCCTTCCGTAGACGGACGCGCAGTGCGTACAAACGGATGTCGACCGTCTATAGACCAGCACACATCCAATGCCTTGTTTCTACGGGTTGATCGTGAAGACCATGAAGAACAGAACGACTTCTCCGAGCTTCGGGGTCTCCGAAGTTGGCCGGCAGTGTTTTGCTATCCTGGAGGCTCGTCTCCTCCGCTCAACCACTGGCCGAACATCGTCAGCCTCATCATGGACAACCGCTCTTCGCTTGATTCTGTCCGCCCAGTGTAAGCGCTCGATCTACATCTATTCCTCACGAATGCGTATTCATTGCCCACCTTGTTGCATGTGAACAGCTTCATGCATTTTGAGCGGCGGCAAAAGACGACGTACCATATTGCGAGAGTGGACGTCGCTATGTACCTAGTTGTACTTGCAGAAGGGCTGAAGAAGTCAAATGAGAAAGTTACACAGGTAAGATGATACTTGCCTGTGGATTCATCGCCGATAGCTTACTCACACTGAATCGTGAATGGTGAATAGGACTTTGTGCAAATAGTGGCGGAAAACCTGCAGCACTCCGGAGCCTTTGCGCCTCGCCTCTTTGCATCTGGCGCGCCTACCTCGGCATAGTCGCCTGTATCTTCGTCCAACGTGTTTGTTCGACACGACCATATTGGACACCATTCGCATCAGCATCTTTTCACAGCAATGTCTGCTTCAATCGTAGGGCTCATTCAGTCGGCTGTAGTCAGTCCCTCCACGAACAGGAACTGCTAAAGGATGTAAACAGGCTTGACATCGCCCGGCGAAAATTCCTCGTGGGTATCCACACACCTGATCTTCCCGCTGGCGCTTTGCTGTGTAAGCAGCTCAATCCCTCGCTTGCTGTACACACGACCATTAGGCAGTACAAGTGGAGGGTTGTGCTCGTCCATGACACTTTGAGTAACGCGGCAAACCAGTCGCGAGTGCGGATGGTACGCAAATGGAAGTCCCGTGCACAGTTGACTGCCCACTTCACTACATGCCGGGCAGATGGGTACGGGTGGTTCGGCACAAGCGTGTACGCGTTTGTTGCAGCCAGCAGCTACTTGGCCGCTGTTATCAGAATCGTCGCTTTTCGCCTCAAACGCTGCGCTTAACCCAATCGATCCCTCGTCGCTTGCAGCACCAATCTCTTTGTTGTTGCCAGTACCGTTGTCAGCACCTCCTTCTCTCTCTTGACGACTTCTCTTGCTTCGGGATCCATTCGTCGAAAGCACAGCCTTCGCGTTTGCGCTTCGGATGCGATGACACGCGCGTGTATTCAGCGTCGATAGCCCAGCGTGCAGCGCAATGCACAGCGACGGCGGGTCGTGCATTTCATACACTTTGTTGAACGTCTTGCAGAACATCTTGTCCAGCATCAGCCACCGATCCGCCGCAAAAAGCTGTTCGTAGGCCGCAATTCCGCACGTCTCGGGCGCCTCGAATGCCAACGTCGCGAGCGCTGTTTGCACGTCATTGATCGCGGCATCCCGAATCACCTGGTCGTCCGGTTGCAGTGCTAACGACGAGAAGTACGCGCGGGCGTACTGCACGGCCTCGAGCGGCTCCCGCGCGCGCACGAGCTCAATAAAGTCCTGCACCCGTAGACGTAGCTCCAGTAACGACTGCAGACGGCGTAACCGCGTGCCATTCTGAGCGCACCACGCGAGTGCTGTCGTGGTCTGAAACGCCCGCAAGTCCGTTTGAACTGCGTGGCGTTCTGCATAGAGCTCGTGATCCACCAGCGACGTGAGATCTACAGCAACAGACAACGGGAGCAGCACAACGGATGAGAGATACACACCTACAAAAAGGTGCGCCCACTACGACTCGTGATCTCTCTCGCAGCAGTCGATCTGCACGACTAACTCCTTGATACAACGTGCACCTCCACCAGCGACGACGCACTTTTCGTATCGGCCACGAGTGTGCCACTCTGAAGGTGTCCCTGTCCCAGCAAGTAGTCGGCAATGAGGCGGTCGTGCAGAGCCTTTTCCTCGCGCAGGAGCGTACCCCCTGAGCCCTCTGCTCGATCTGTTGACTGGTGCAGCGTCTTGAGCGACCGCGCGCGCTTCACACAGCTCGCGAGATCGTCAAACTGCTTGAGCCCATTGTGCGAGACGCAGTGCTTCAAGTTCCGCAGCGTCGCTGCAATCTCTGCCACTGTCTCGACAGCTGTGTCAATGTCGAGACAGTGACGCGACTCGGCTTTTTCCAGTGCTCCGAGCTGTGCCCTGACGTGCGCGAGCTCCCGCGTGAGCTGTTTGTGGTACAGACGGAAGTTCCTGCTGACCTGTTCAAAGGGGACGCGCACGAGCGGGTGGCTGAGCTCCATTAGGGGCACGAGCGGAAGAAATGGTATGGTACGGTACGGTACGGTATGGTACGGCTGCTTTAAAGTGGGAAGAGAGAGTGACAGAGGGAGTAGTGGTGGGGTATATGTGAGTAGTGGTGGGGTATCTGTTCTTCTGTGCTTGTGGGCGGTATCTAAAAGGCACACAGAACCCGATGTGGTTTGAATGCACAGTGAGTGTAGCGATAGCGTTTGGGTTGTTAGGTAATCTGCGATTTCGTGTCGAGTTGATTCAGAGCTTTTGCCGGTCCCCATTTCGGTGGTCGCCCTGAGCGTATCGCATCTGACGAGCTATCGAGATGAGTGTGTACTGACATTGACCTGGTGTTAGATGGCTGCTCACGTCCTATGCGTTGTACGTTGTAGCTGGAATGGGCAATGTGACGTTGGGAAAGGAGAGTCTGAGAAGGCTGACACGCTGTAGTGTAATTGGGAAATGCATACAAAACACGGTCGACAGTGTTGATGTATTGCCGAGACAACTTCCTGCGTTTGAAATCGGTAAGGGAAAAAGTGGCTCCTGTGTGCATTGCAAAGGTCGTGTTGAAGATTGCAAAGACCTTCGAAGCATCTCAGTGGCTTTCTGAGGACACACCAAGCAGGGAACGGATAGCATGAATGGCGATGAGCTTTTTGCTTCTGGTAGTTCATTCTACGACGATAGCCACATTTTCAATCAGCCCACTGTGTACCTCGGCCTCCTTTGCCTTGCAAACCTGTTCCAGACTCTCGCCATCGATCAGCTTCGGTCGAGTGAGTGTTCGTATCCATCTCGACGTGATCAACTAGATGCTCCAAAATCGACGCGGGGTCACGGCTACACAGCTGTCTCAGCTAGATTCTAGCTCCTACTCCAGCGCGTGTTTCGTCACCTCAACCTCCTTCGAGCCGTTTATGTATCTCCCCATGTCTGGGTCTTCTGGGGAAACAGAGAGCCCAAATGAACAGCTCCGGGTTATGGACTGGATCTCGGCCTAGGAAGCTATTGATCAGTGCGAGATAGTTGGTCAATATATTGTTGATGTTGTCGACCCTCCTCCCGGCGCTCTTCAGAGTCTAACGCGTCATGCAGATAGTCGCAACACTAAATTATCGATTACTATTGAGATGGTGCCGACCCATCGGCTTGATCTTGGCTGTTGCGATTGCTGGTAGAGATTAATTTAAAGTTTAGCAAAAAGCAGGCAACCCGTGATATACGGCTCTGCCCAGTCAAGTAGGAAAAGACTTTGTCAATCTACTGCACAATTAGAGCTTCCACAAATGCTAGCGCTACATGTAAAAGGTTGAAAGACATGTTCTCTCAACTGGACCTGTGCCGGACCATGAAGGAATTTAAAAGCTGAAAAAATTGTCAGATTACGGACGATACGTAACAATACGCTTCGATTTTTATCTTTCCTGTGCGCTTTTGTCTTGGGTAGTGATGATGTCTTGGGTAGTGATGATGTAATTGCTCTATAATATAAAAAAGGTCAGGGGGTATATCTCGGGGGGGGGGGGGGTGTCGCCGCATAGACGTTCGCCAGCTAATAGGATACATACTTCCTTTTTCGACATAAACAAGTTATTCGACGTTTATTGGGAGAGGCTACATACACCTAGCATTGTTGCAAAATACACCGCCGCCAATCCATTAGACTTAATGTTTATATGACAACCGTTGAATCTCATTTGGGCCACGTCAATTCAAATATTACAGGATATGCTAAGTAGAAAGGCACCTGTTACATAGCCATGTCAAATCAAAAAGAAAATCTTCGTTGTCTAACGCATGATGATGAGCCCTTCATCCACATCCACATCCACTGCTGCCACTGCTACAGTCGCTAATACTGATACTAATTCTGTCCACCTTCACTACTTCTGCTGCCACTGCTACGGTTGTTAATGCTGATTCTAATTCTGTCGTCGCTGACAATCAGGTTAAGTTCTAAGTTGATGCTGGCCCTAATCCTGCCGCCGCTGATCTCTCATGGATCTGTGAAGGATCTCCACCGGTCGGGCCTTTTGACAGTCATTAGACGGCTGATGAGGTTTTAAAGCAGGACGCCGTACGCTAAGGCGTTGCTATTAGTGTATCCCGCGGCTGTTCGATTGGTCCCAAGCGCAGTTTTCTCACATGTTGGCAGAAAAGATATCATAGGAGATCCCACAGTCGGCACACGTTCAATGTGAGATCGCGGAACAAAAAAGGTCGGCTGTTCATGCGAGCTCGTGATCATGTATGGCAAGCACGACCCCGAAGAAATTGCCTGGTCAACGATTTTAGTGGACAACTGATACACCGGCCACTCTCGTTGTATCAGCAAGACCATGCTCTCAACGCCACCGGCGGCGCGACGTGCGACGCTTTACATTGACGATATTAATTCTAAGGTCGTCCAGATGCATCAGGATGGATCTGCTCCACGGGTATGTGTGCGTGTCGAAGTCATATACAGCAGGCCATTATCTGTTTTTTGTCTGTATGTGATTATTATAGGCCATTTCAAACCAGTTTAAGGAGGCTGGTGTCCTTATGAATACCAAGGACGTCGACAATATCGTTTACAAGGCAAAGAGGAAGAAAATTGGTGGAAATTACACACGGAAGCTTTGCTGCAGCACATGAAGGACCAGCATATTAAATCTACGGTTGCAGTGTAAAGCCGCGGGTGCATTTTAATAACCTTATTCTATAGTTTATTGAATTGGCGTGGCCTGGCTCCGTTACAGGTGTCTTTCTACTTAGCTTATCCTGCAATATTCGAAGTGACGTGGCCTGAATGTGACACAACGGTTGCCATATAAACATTGAGTCTAATGGATAGGCGGCGGTGTATTTAGCAATCATGTTAGGTGTATGTAGCCTCTCCCCGTTTATTCTCAAGAATAAAGAGTGTAAGATATTTAAACGACAAAAAGAAAAATACGTCTGATAAATATATATATTGAGCATAAAGGATGCCTTATGATATGTGCAAGACATTGTACGAACAAACGCAGCGCACGACATAGGGGATGTACGTGTATATGTTTTTTGGTCATTGTTGGTTATACAAACGTGGATTCATTAGTTTATGCATTCTCGGTGGTCATCAGTCCGCCTGCTGGCCCTTGCCTGCTGGCCTTGGACGGACTTGGATTGGCGATTTGTTGGTGTTCATCGCTCAACTGTTCACCATAAAGACAGTTTACAAGCGCGGACCCTGCCTCATCCTAAAGACCTTAGATGACGCGTCACCGGTATTCTTTGTTGACGCAGGGAGATCGATCGGTCAAAGAAGTAGCATAATCGATTGGAAGTATGTTGTGCGCTGCATGATCGATGTGAACGAGAATGCCGAGATACGTAAGCTGATGTGTTATAACGTCTTCTGCCAATCGACATACTGCATCCGTTTAGACAGATTCAAGACGGCAAGATCGCGAGCCATACCACCATTACTTTAACCAATAGCAGCATCTCTCGTGACGACTATAAGACTGCACGAGGATTGTGCGCTCTGCCAGCTGCATTACACATTGCATGTCCGTGATCAAAAGTCGTGGATCCTAAGCAGTATTATCTAGTTTTTTCTTATGCGCAGCTAGCCGCTGTGACCACAATTATTCTTGCCACAATGTTGATCGCACGGCGTGGAAGACGCAAGTAGCAGACAGTACCTAAACCTTTATTTCAATGCTCGTCTTCTAGGCTAGGTACAAAAGTGTAGTTTACTAGCGTCAACGCCCTGATGCACACTAAGTGAGGTCTCGACTCTGTAGTGTCTACCTATACAAACTTATGCTGCGTTAAAAGTGAAAGGGTAGCCACGACACATTGATGCAAGTACGTTCGGTGATGACCGTCATCCCCTTCCAAATTATGTCGTTTAAAAGCGTGCGCTGCCTTTACGTTGTCATCGCTATCACACTCTGTTGACATGGTCAAATGCCTTTCTATTCCTGTCAATATATCTGAAGGCTCTTCTGTTAACACAGTGGTCTTGCCGTCAAGTACTCCACGAGCATCTGCATGGCAATCTGCAATTTCGCCAACAAGTTCCTGTCATCTCTTTAGTTTATGATCTCATTATGCTGCCTTCATTGACCTGTCGTCTTGCACTGCCAACATTTGATTCTACAACATCTTTTTCGTTATTGTAGCGCGACACGTTGCCATTGCGCTGTCTCTTGAAGCCTAAATTAGTGATACCACCACAGGCGACAGCTGGACGAACTCATGTGTCAGACCAATCGAAGCTGGCTGAGCAGATTGAAGGTACGCGGCTTTGCAGACAACGGACAGACGAAATTGTCGAGCTACGCTTGAAGCGTTAATAAATCTTACTCTGTTCCTACGTGATGACCTGCATTTTTGTAAAACGCCTGTAAGGTGAGTGATCAACCAAGTAACAAATGAAGTATGAACCCGTTTGAAGGACTATAGGCATAGTGTTTGTTACCGTACAGAATCGAATCTTGGTGCATGTTCGTTTTAGTTCTTCATAGGATCTTTTTGTTTTTCCATCTTTTGGCGTGCTTTTTTGTTCTTGTCATAATATGGTGCAGCTTTTGTATTGACCCTGATACACATTATTTGAGCCCAACTTTTCTAGGTTTGATGCGAATTGAAAGGCCGACTGTCTGCTTCTCACCGATTGCGCGCAATTCTTCTTGATACAGGGACTTACTTACTTGCCCGCTGACGTCATGGTCTTTCTCTGCCAATAAGCAGCGTGTCGTTAGCTGCTGCTGAATGGTAGCCACAAAGATAATATCCTCGATCATGACAATCTTTTATTCGCGGAATAAATTTTCCGCTACGAAAGTATCACATGGATCTTACAATTGCTGTCAATGTCTAGCCACGGACTCATCTTGTTACGACATCGACACGCGCTCAATGTGTCATAATTCGTCGAATGTTTGCAAATGAGATGATACAAAACGATGGCTTGATCCAAACATACTCTCGTTGCCAAGTCTGACATCGGAAGCGCATTAACATTTTCGTTAATTTACAAGTCGCTTCCTCGGTCGTCCAGTGTCTGACCGAAGTTTGCTAACAACACTGGAAAACAATACAGAGCTAACAGGCGGACATCTTGACGGTACGCTCTTTTGTGTTGCTCGGTTCTTTACCATCTCGAACCCTATTTTTTCGCGCGCTTCAGTACCCACAATGGTGTAATTTCCCGTGCACGGCCTAACGACTAGGTCGAGGAATTCAGCCTACAACGGGAACTGCAGGCCATTTATAACTCGGTTGCCAAGTCTTGCGGCATAGCGAGGGAGTCGTTGGCCATCATCACGATTGCCCCGCTATGCCATGACAAGCGACTTCAAAAGGCGGGGGACTTGAGGTCCTGCGCCGAAAACTTGGCCGAAACACTGAATCTTGGAAGGCTTTCGCTGTAGAGGGGCAAGATGTGGCCCATCAACTGGCCCCAGTCGTTGCGCGACTCCGCGTGGAAGTAGCCGTAAGCAAAGTACGAAAGCGCTCCGATCGCCATCCAGGCCACACTTAAACCGAGCGCTACGTAGCTGATCTGCGCGATCATGTACCAGTTGGCGAGAATACAAAGCGCTGGAACAAACGGCACCAGTGGAGCGGCGTATAGACCCGGCGCGTTGCCAGCTTGTGGACACTTGACGAAAAGCACGACGGAGATTGCCACGGTCGCGACAAGAGAGATCGTAGCGAGAATGAGGCACACGGTGGATGCATTGTTCTGATAGCCCTCCTGGAACAGAAAAGCGGTGCATCCAGCGGCAACAACCAGCGCGGCAACGAGCACTGGGGACAGCTTTGGCGACTGGGGCTTCATCCGCACTAATATCAGCGACACATTCGCGAAGATGAACGACATGATGGCACCGAAATTCACAATCTCCCACAAAGTGTTGAACGGCACTGTGACAGCAATGACTGTGGAGATAAGTCCTGTGATGAGCGTGTTCTTGAACAAATTGCCCTTGGCATCGACTTCAGCAAATATACGCGGCAAGAGCCCGTCGCACGCGAGTGCGTAATTGAGACGAGGTTGAGCCAGGAATCCAATGAGGGCCACCACGGGCATTGTCACGATCTCACCGGCCCGCACGACGGTTCCAGCCCATTTCCAGCCATGGCCCTCGAATCCAACACCAAAGCTGCCTGCTTCGAGATAGGGCACCATGCCAGCCAGCACGAGCGAGCAGAGCGCGCTGAGCACCATTGTGCCAATGGCGACAATCATGACGGCGGTCGGCATGATCTTCTTGGGGTCCTTTGTCTCGCCAGCGAGGCAGCAGACCTCGTCGAAACCAGCGTAGCCGAAGAACGCCTGCGAAGCGCCAGTGACAACACCCTGCAGTCCGAAGGCCATTGTCCCATCCACTTCACTGCGCACGGGAACGAAAGGGGACAAGTGGTTCAGGTCCATGGCAGCAATCCCAGCGACAACAATGAATGCCACGACACCCATCTTGATGACCGTCACCGTGTTCACAAAGACTTTGCCGAACTGGACGCCCATCAAGAGCACGACCATGCTCAAGAACTGGATGAGCCCACCGCTGAGGTTGGCCGACTGCAGGTTAAGCCAATGGAAGCTCTGGTCCGGGTGCTCGAGGACCAGCCACTCCTCGACTTTGTCGCCCCAGCTCCGCGCCACACCGGCACCACTCACTGCGTACTCGAGAGTCAGCAGCCACGCAGCCACGACAGCCGGGAGCTCACCGATCGTGTGGTAAGCATAGGCGTACGTGCTGCCCGAGGACGGTACGCGCGTGGAGAGCTCCATGTACGACAATGCATTGAGGCAGCAAATGACGCCGCCAATGAGCCAACTCACTGCAGCCGCAGGACCAGCAGTTTGGCTGATGATGGACCCGGCCGTGGAAAAGATGCCGCTGCCAATGGTGGCGCCTACGCCAATGCAGCACAAGTCAAAGAGGTTTAGCGTGCGGGGAATGTCCTGCGAGTTCTCTTCGGCGTGGATCACCCAAATGGGTTTGGTCCGCCACAGTGCAGCGAAACCTGCCATCAAAATGGGGCTCTACTGGGTGTCCGGAACCGCAAACAAGCGGTGCGAGGGCACTGGCGACGGCAAAAGCGAGAATGGAATACGAGCTGCGCTTGTCAATGGGCGGCGGGTGCATCGCGTGCAGCCAATGGCACTACGTCAGACGCGCGCGTTATGCTAAGCGCCTCGACTCTGACCCGTTTGTGGGGGATACACTGGACGACAGGGATCCGGATGTCTTTGGCGAACGCGTGTTGGCCTTCAGGAGAAATGAATGGTGATGGCATCTTCACAGCACTAGTAAGGGCACAACTGGACCACGTCGACGGAGCGGTTCTGTGAAGCGCGAAAGAGGCCGCGACAACAGCTACGAATGCCATTGTAGTAGTGTGTATAGCGTTTCGCGGCCTGAGGGAATAGCTGCTGCCGCTACTGTCGTACGGGGCTGCAAAAAGAGACTCCTCGTGGAGGTCGCACAGCACATCGCGGGACTGTACACGAGTGTTACAGACGCGCCGCGAAAAAACTGATCTTTGGTTGCCGCGACTGACTTGTTCAGTACGTTCTGCCTGAGCTCGACGAGATGCGTGACACTGCTTGAGGCGGATGGATAAGCTCTAAACAAGTGTGCTCGCCAAAGTAGCCGCCACCGATGACGATCCACTCGTTGCAGGACCTATGCATGAGCCCTTTGTGTTCCCGCAGAGAGCTGGGTCACACAGCGCTTTGCGAAGGTCGGCGCGAAACATCTCTTCAGTGTACGACAGATGCTGTGTTCGCGGCAGCATTGTAGTCGCACGCATTGTACCTGCGGTGCGGCAACCACAGGAGCTCAGATCGCGCTACAGCCGCTTCTGCGAGTGGATGGTCCTGTTCGCCTGCTGCTCTTTCGTTCAGGTCGTCATAGGTCTTGACAGGCTCGGTAGCCAAGAGAATGGGGCGGCAGATGACTAGGTAAGCGCAAACACTATCACGCCACACACAATGGCAAACTCCATGAAAGACAGAGGTCAGCGAGCACGAGGGCCTGAGCCCGACGAAATCGCGCGGCGAGTCGAAGGTCTCGATGTCGTTGACGTAGCAGAAAGTGTTCGACGATCAATGACGTCCTGATTAGTGTCAAACACAACGTCCCTTGCGCACAGGCCAAAGAACGTTCCGATCCACTAAGCGTTTCACTACAATCTAGTTAGCGCCTATCGTAGCAACTGTGCATCACACACAGTTGCTACGATAGTCTCTTTCGGGTCGAATACGCCTCGACATACCTGTGTCCGTCGGCACATTATCGATGCCCTTCCATCCTGCCCTTTCTTACTTTGCGTTTTGTTTTTTTTCGAGCATCCCGACTGCCTCTCGCGGGCTCTTCTTTTGCCAACCATGCATGTCATATGATCACAGGATGGTGACATGATGACTGAAGAAGGACGGAAATGAACACGCATAGCCGCCGCTTTCTCCCGCAACAAACTGATCCGTTCTGATTTTACTTTTGCGTGAGCCTGTAATTTTTGCCATGACCCGATCGACCTGTTCATCGAGTGGGGAGTACGCTTGTCTCGATCCACAAACCAGACACTCGCAAGTGATACCTACGTGATCAAAAAAGTACTCGCAAAAAGCTTACGAGTCTAGGCCTAGCTTTCTTTGCGCACTACTGCAACTGACCCATTGCATAACAAGAGTACGTCATGTGACTAGTTCCTGACGGGTGGGGTGGCTAGTCGACATGGCCCACGCGTTGCGACAGAAAGGGACCCGTTTCTTGCATCCCGCACCTGCCCAATTGTTGACACACATGACCGTGCGTCTGCCCTGCTGCTTGTTTATAGCCTCTGCAACACTCTTGTGGAATCTGCTGATACAACGACTACTGACAGCGCAACAGTGTGAGCTCGTAGACGACGTTGACCTGATTCATGTTCTGTTTTTACGGTGGGCACGATGCCGTCACGGGATGTGCCCGTGACATGGCATTGACATTGGCGAATGTCATGACAAATATTATCTCGGCAGATATAAGTCTTAAATATCGCTTTCTAACGGAACATTCAATAGCTTCTGCCAAGTGCTTCATCATCTCGACTGTTCTTTTGGACAACAAAGCGTCCGATCGAGATGGGCGCGTGCAATGGGCGAGGAGCGTATGGTTCAACCTTTTGTTGGTACTGGATACATCTACAAAAGTTTTTGACACATTTATTGACGTGCTTACTTAAATCATTTGTAGGACCTTTATTTTCGTTGACAAACACATTCGTCAATTAGACAGCTTCCTCTGCACGCAGGTGTACGTATGGTTTACGGCACCTGCCACCACTGTTGATTGTGAATATAAATGTATGATGTTGCACCTTGAGCGCGATGCACCATTACATCTCGTAGCACTCTGTGGCTCGTCGAACAATTACGACCGCATACACCATAGAAGTGGTGAGTGAGGACATCATTCACCGCACGCTTGCAGGCTGCGCCCATTGAACCGATTTAAAATGGGTGCGCTTAAACATACGAGATGCCCGTTGGTGACCCAGCCGTGATATCTGTGTTGTTAGCCTGAAGGGATGGAAATGGCTGAGAGAATGGCGAGCAACACGCCACGATCGCCAAGTTTTTTATAACATGAACTTGACGTGGACATAGATAGAAAAGCAAACTCACCAATACGGTTCTCAGCATTTAGATCTGTAGCGAACGCTTAATACATAGCACTTCAAGCTGTTAGTACGACAGGAAGCTGACGCTGCTGGCGGTCTATTGCATTTGCGTCGACTTGAGAATGCGTAGATTGACTTTTCCAAATTCAAATTAGTCGAAGGGCTTCCTTATAGAAATGACCCGTTGATCTGACGATGCCATAGAGGCTTGTCGCATCTCATAGTATCCTATGAAGAAGGGTTTTGGCATGTTTAGACGTTACAAGTCGAGAGGATACCGTGAAAAGTCGAAGTTCGTGGAACCGCGCTTCTTTATAATGGATATAATGACAAAAGTGCTGACGGCGCAGCGGATTGCAGGTTCACGAAGGCTATGTCCAATGCTGTAGACATTGACATAGAAAAAGCCTTACGGCAAAGGGTGCGACGAGCGGCGACGAGTATTAATATATTTGCAAGATGGTGAGAGGCAGTCCTGTTGGAAGTCACGTGACATCCTGTGTTGAAGTTGTGTGGTGCGGCGAGCGGCGACGAGTATTAATATATTTGCAAGATGGTGAGAGGCAGTCCTGTTGGAAGTCACGTGACATCCCGTGTTGAAGTTGCGTGGTGCGTCTCAGTGGAAGAGGCAAATGCAATGAACCGTTTCGCGGACAGGAAGGACTGTTGGGATACATGCAAAGATCTATAAGATACAAGGACGGCTCTTCAACAACCATGGAAAGATATTCAAGCAGTAGGTATCAACCGGACTAACAACGCTAATATGTATTCACTTTTTTATTTCTTCTCTGCGTTGCAGGTCTTTATCCCACAGGTTATGAGCCCAAGTTCTGCAAACTTGTCGGCAGTGTAACAAACGTACACCGCTACGACTAATTCTGCTCTCACGAAAGGAGTGCAATGGAAACGAATTAGTAAACCCCCGAGCCCAAGAAGGATGACGACGTTACTGTTCTTGCGTTGCTTCAAAAGATGAGCGCAAGGATCGACGGATTGGAGCACCAGATTTTGTCAAGTCAGTCATGAGCTCAAGCGATGATCAACCTCCCGTCCAAATATTTCTGGACCCACCACCCCATCTTCCAAGTGCCAGCGGGATTCGAGAAGTCGCCATCCAAGGGGGATTGCTCGGAGCGTCTCGCTTGACGCTACAAGATCGGCATCAAGGACAACGTGTACCTGTTGGTGTGCATAATTCCGCTCACGGCACCTTGAACGCACAGGCAGCCATAAATCATGTCCCAAAGCCGCCTCAGCCACATCCAAGGGTTGATGACGAACGTTTTCAACGTGGGATAGCACAATTCGATTCTGCCTGGATTGCTGTTCCGGACACCAAGACGCCGAAGCTAATGATCCAAAGATTTACTTGCAAAGAGCTGTACGCCGGACTGGGTAGCGGGTTTCGCGAATGGTCACTCTCGTTTCTGGAAGCGCTGAAGATGGAGGAGATGGCCACTGGATATCGCTGGGCGGAGCGTGTCGAGGTGAACAAGTAAGGAGAGTACTTAGTTAAAGACTCGACTGCTTCAGACTATTTCCGTCAAAATGTGGCAACTTGGTGGTCTATTGCACCACATTTGGAGTTTATACTCGAAGAAATGTACAAATTCTTCAAGGTGACGGTGAACCATGAGCAAGCATCAGCCCCTTTCGTGAAGTAGAAGAACCTGTCTCAGACGTGGCCTCAACGTATCTTGTACCTAGTACATCTTGTTCGGGTCAGTGACTCAAGCGAGCGCAGAATTATTTACAACATTGTAAAGCATGCAGCTCTCAAAAACAAGCACATGATGTTGATTAGGCTGGATACAAATCACCACTAACATGTCGCACACGCACAATAATTAATCGCGTGGGCCCAAGGGATTGTTTGTAACGGGGCACACCCTTGCGTAACTTAACGCAAGGGTTTTGGGTGCCCCGACGGACGTACACGTGGCAAGCGAGGAAGCGTAGGTAGGGTACAAGTAGAACTATTATATTAATATAATTAAGTCTTTAAACTACTGTCTCTTCGTTTGACTTAGTTTAACTATACTAATATAACTGGATGTATGGTGACGTCTCGTCACCACTCATTGCGCGCGTCTTGCGGCGGTTGGTGGGTTGATATCATCACGATATCAACCAATGAACAGACCCTTTGGTCGACCCTTCAATATCACCACTTTGGTGATATTGTTTAAAGAATATCCATCTTTATATTCTTTATTGTCACTTTCCTTAAAGTGACAATTTCATGTAACAGGCTGCCCCGTTACATTGTTGATGACCAGAAGAAGACAAAGTATCTGGGTCTCGATGTCGTTGCAGCAGTTGGTGAGTCACGAACGACCAAAACGCGTGGCGCGACTGGAC